AAAACAAGAAAACAACGAAATTGGCCAATATTTTACGTTCGAAGAAAGTAAATTAGAATTTGACAAACAATTTTTAGATAAAGTTTTGTACGAGGTTATGTTTGTTCATATTTTGGCGGAAATTTTCAAGGGAAGCCATTTTGAATTTTTTGTCGAGAAAGTTGTCAGGGGAAACTCTGTGCAAATTGCTCCAAATTTTCCCGCCAAAAGTCTTAGTATATATTTGAACGAATTTTTCTTGACACCTTTGTGATTAATTAATGGAAAATCACTTAACTAGTTAAAGAATGATTGAAAATATTTGTTATTTATTAACTGAAATAATTCAAAGAAGAAAATAAAGATGAGAATGACAGTAAACATTGTAGTGTTTATTGATTGCTATTCAACAATATACATCGAGAATAATATGGATTTTCTTACGTACATCTTCTCAAAAAAAAAAATAAAAGGCGCATGCGTATTTTGGGCGCCTTGTATTTTCTAAGTTTTTTGGCGGGAAAATTACGCCATTTTGAAAGGAGTTTCGAAAAATTTTTAAAAAAAACTGGCGCATGCGTATTTTAAACGCTTCGTATTTTTCTAAGTTTTTTGGCGGGAAAATTAAAAATTTTGAACAGGGGTTTGGCTGATAAAAAATAAACTCACGAGACTTCAGAACAAAAATTAGATCAGATTTAATGTCAAAAATCGCTTAACTTGTGAAGAGGTACAAGAAACTGCATTGGAATAATGTTGATAATTCATAACTTTGCCTTTAAGAAAAAAAGCGAAGGTGCTTAATAAACGCTTCTTCCTTTTGAATGAAATAAATTGTGTTTTAAGTTGAATCGTATGAACAATACTAAATATCTAAAGTCCATACAATTTTAGTTGTAATTATTCCGTTATTGATACGACCAAGGAGAACAATTTGCGTCACTTATCATGACCTTAAATACAAAAATCTGTCGATTCACATGGAAAATTTCCTTCTTTCATTGTTTATCATTCTTTTTTTAATCAAAAAATAGTTTGATGACACAAATTTCTTCAATACTTTGAAACATTTCCTGAACTTAGAGTGCAGAGTGCAAAGGCAGACAATCCACATCACCTATTGTTAGCTTGTCTTTGAAAATCCGGAAATTTCCAGAGTGTCTTCAGTTTTGATATGTTGGTTTGTTATCATAATTTCTGCATCGCGATGCTCAAGCTATTTGAAAAAGTCCTCTCTAAGGTTGATTTGAAGCATATTTCATAAAAACAAAATCCTGCCCTTGAGGTCGAAAGTTTTGAAAAGAATGAAACTAAATTCGTTTGACACTCGTCGAAAATTTTCGTTCCAGATTATCTTCAAATTGGTTGTAACTAGGCACTATAACTGCGTTTAAAACGCACCTTCGCAGCCTATTATTGTTCATCTAATTCAAGATTCTACCTCTGAATGTGTACGCTTGATTTCAATCCAGTGTCTTGTCCATTTCTTCTTTGATTTCAATCCAGTTTCTTGTCCATTTGTCCAATTGATCTCAATCCAATTGATCTCAATCCACTTATTTATTCCTCCAGCGGCTTGATTTCAGTCCAGTTATTTGTCCATTTGCCACATACGATTCAAAGTGATAGTCGAGCGACCCTTGCACAGAATGATATCGGGGAAGAAATTAAACAAAAAGCAGCTGGTTAGACCCTCTGTCAAAGAAGAGAACTAACATGATTCCTAGTTGTAATTGTTGTAATAATAGCAAAGGAAACCAAAGATGAATATTCCCTTAAATTTCAGCGATTGAAGAAGACGATTGCATACATTTACACTGTATAGAATTAATTTTTATGAACATCCAATTTATGAAATGTTGATAATATAGGGTTGTAGCGAAACGAAAATCCCCGAAAGCTAAGACCCAAAAACGAAGACCCCTTTACTTTCTTTCTTTAACATAATCTTATTATAGTTTCTCGCCACAATTCAGCTCCGGTTTTAATCTTTCTAATCATAATAGCGATAAAGCATTCCATAAAAGACAGGTTTAATATAAAAAGACCCGAAAACGACGACCCCTTTATTTTCAAAATAACGTGTCAACTTTAAAAAGTGTGCTCTCCAGCTACCTCGATTCGTCTGAAATTTGCCAGATGTAAAGGTTGTGGCTTTCAAAACATCGTTATTTGCCTCGTATTAATTCTAGGACCATAAAAATGACCTCTTAATAAATCTGTGATGTGTTTTCCGTGATCTGTTAGCAACGGTGTTTGTATGTGGTCGCCAACACCGATTTTTAATTTTCAGTATGTATCTTTAAAGTTCTGTTTAAATTATTTTGAAGTTTGTATGGAAGAAAATTGCTGCTAGTATATTTGTGTTTCGATTTTGTTAAATTTCATTTAAATGAACTGGGCTCGGCAGTTGAAATGAAAACTTTGCAAAGCTTTCTTATGCAGGTCGTTACCCCGACATTACTAACAAATTAAAACCAAGAAAATGCTAGATGTGATTATTTATAGGCTCACTCCGTATGTAAGAGTGGAATCTTTGAACAAGCACGACCGATCTTATTTACCAGGATTCGGACGATCTAAAACAGACCATAATCGATCGAGTTCTACTTTTATCTCCGCTAGAAACGATGTCTTTTCCTCCAGTTTTCATTTTACAGTGGTTCAGCTTGGAAAAGTTCCATTGTAGTACCACACTCAAAGATTGATAAAAGCCATTTGGGAATCAACAAGAAAACAAGAATCCAACAATTCTCACACGGTTCTCACTGGCACTTCATTCAGCGGGAACAAATGAGCAGATTTAAAGGGAGTACATGTAAAACTGGTCTTTGATTCTGGATAATTTTGGCGAGAAACCATGATAAGATCATACTGAATGAATAAATAAAGGGGTCTTCGTTTTCAGGTCTCAGGTCTTAGCTTTCGGGGGTCTTCGTTTTCGTTACAACCGATGATTGAGACTGTCTACGTTCACTGACACGATCTTAATTTTGAACAAATAATCGCAAATCGTATCTATCATCAGAATTCGGCAAGGAAGAGAAGACGTGCATTTAAATGTAGGGAAAAATCCCCCTCCTCGTGTGGACTAAGAATTCTAATGAAGAAATGCGGTGATATTGGTTGAAATGTGTTCAAAGATTGTTATTAAACTCAGCCCAGCTCGAGCATTGACGTATCAAGATTATCAATAAATTTAAGGAAGGAGCAGTCGAAAAAGAAGTCTAATAGTCGAAGACAGTTGCACAAAACCCCGGTTTTAATAGGATATATAATTTTGCGAGGGCATCGGTCACATCACTGATCAAACGCATGAAGTATTACTTGCCAGTTACTGATTTTCTGAGCACATTTTACGAGACAACAAAATTGCTTTCACGACATGTTGCAATCAGTCTTTGTTTCCCTGTTTGAAATTGAAATGTAGGAAAATTCCCAAAGTATACCAGGAAACACAGGATTGTACCTATGAAAGACTACCTTTTGTTTGCGTTTGTTTGAAAATATCTTGAAAATCGTTATGAAAGTCAGCTGAGCACAAAAGGTTATCAGTGGATTTAAGGAATGGAAAGATCATTAAACAAAACCTTAGGCAGTCTTTTACATCTCTGTTTTGAATTTTTGATCTTAACACAAGCTATCTACATTATCACTGTTGCAACTGCATCAAAAAGAGTTCTGTAACAGAACTACAGACCAAAGGCCTTCTTAAGCATCGAAAATTTCTACTCACCGATTCCAGGAGCTCTCTTTGATTGCCATATTTCATGTTCTCTTCCACGTTGACTCCAGATATTTTGTTGAGGAAACAACAGTAGGATTAGTTTAAGTTTACGTGGAAAACCATAATCAAACTCACCGTATCACAATAAAACCTGCTCGTTACCTTGAAAAGCAAGGAAGCACAAGTCCACCATCTTGTACGGCATCATGTTCCGATGCCATTGCACAATTTGCGACCTTTCGCCGAAGTTGCCTTCGGTAGGATTTTGCGTGGCCATTATAGAGGCCTTTGTGTCCTCAGAAAAGTTTTCATTAATCCTGAAGCTTGTAAACCAAAGTAAGAAGACCTAAACGGCCACAGAACTTTCCACACCCGAGTAACGTCTCAGTAACACGTGCAAGTGAGAGAAAATCATGAATAATAACGAGGAAAGATTTTGCAATTCAGATCAGTTGGCAGTCCATCCTGGACCTCTAGTGATCGTGAAAAAAGCTAGCACTGCATATTTAATTCTCTGCAGAAAACGGAATAATTTTTTAACGCGTTCTCTCTTTTGAAATTTTGACAGATTTCAAAACCAACGTTATCTTAAACATAACAAACTGTACTGTTGTAACGGAAGCTCGAAAAAATCTCAGAAGCGTTGTTATGGGTGTGTCTAATGAAGGGGGTTTGTCGTACTTGTCAATCGTTGAGGAGACATATGAGAACTTCTTCTTGAGTTTACCCCGCTTTACTGCTTAGGAATTTCAAGGCTTCGAAAAGTTGTCGACATCTTCTAATTGAAAGCTATATTTGCGACTTGTTGCCTAATTCCTTAACTTCCCACATTCAAGATCCTACACGGGAAAGTAAAACCCTTTGAAATGTTCCCTGCCTTTAAGGTGTCGCTTCGTAACTCACTTGGTAGTGGCGCTCAACTAGTACCTGAGGGGCATGGGTACGAATTAGGTTGATGCATGAGTTTTTTACAGGCCTATTTCTGTAATTGCTTAAATTGCTGGTGCTCCGGTAGAGATCGTTGCTTCATTTAATATTTTATGTTAATTGAATTTTCCTTTCAGAAAGCTCCTTTAAAAAAGTACCTCCAGTATAGAAAGAGAGTAGAAAATATTGTCAGGTACCCATAACGAACAAAAAGATAAGGGTCGACGGGAGTCTTAACGCCAGTTAGATTCCTTAGTAACAAATCCAAAAGATCTAAAAATATCGTGAGCAATAATTTTCAATCATAAAAAGGCAGACCATTTGGTAACACCTAACAAAACTTTATTCTAAGATATCTCTAATACAGTCTGTATTGATTTAATCATTACAAAATCTATACTATAATTAGTTTACTTCCTTCCCTTTGATTTCTTTGTTTTTTTTTTTCTTGAAAAAAACATGCTTCGGACAAACTTAAATTTCAAATACCTCTCGCCAAATTTGATGAGCCTTCAATGGAGGGAAGAAATTTTACTTCTTGTTTAATAAATACTCTAGGACAACTAAGGGCCTTCATGATGATACATGTGATAATACCATTCACATTCTCTTAAGTTTCTTTTTGATACTAATAGAGTCGCTATAAAAAGTCTAAATTTCAAAGTTTGGACCCCCCCCCCCTCCAAGATAGGAGAACTAGATTGATCCATTTCATTGAACGAGGCTTTTTGACTGAAGTTGGATCTAGAGATAGGCTAAAGCTGCCTCGTGTAAAATATGAAATGAAGTCTATAATTAGAATATCCTAACACACCCTCCTCTCGCTATTTCTTTTCGTCAGTATAAAGCAAATGTCCTCTCTGCAAAGAAGACCAGGTGAAATACATTAACCATAATCCACAATCTTTGATAGAAAGCAAAACAATCTTACAAAGCTAAACACAGTGTCAACAACGTAAACCTTGCTATGATGGGTTGTGCTATACTATGATTAGTTAAACTGAAGCAATCTGATAGAAAACCACTCTAGGCAATTTAAGTATACGAACTTACTGATACTTAGCGGCGCATACTTGTATTGGCAACACTTCTAAACACAGAGTAGGCGCATAAGGTAGGTTGATAAGAGAGATTTTCTTATTTACCTCATCATCATCATCTGGATCATTCACAACTTGGTATTTTTTCGACCTGTAGTATGTCTTTCGTTTCATAAAGTAGAGAACAACAATATCACACAACACTGTCGCCTGTAAGAAAGCAACAGCAATTCTAATAGGTAAAATGGGTTATCACAGGATACAGTCGCCATAAGCCATAACAAGATATTGGCAAACAATTCATGTGAGATTCATTCTCCGAATAATACACATAATGAACTGTCCTCATCAATCAACCTCCATAATTAGGTCAGTTATGGAGTGTAAGAAAACCCAGTTGCATATAAATCATATGAATTACTACAAAGAAAATCCACAGAGATTCCATGAAGAGATCTGTGTCTATCATACAGATCTCATTCATAACTACTCCTTCCTTGACACTGTGTCGCTATTTTAAGTCAATGGAAATGGAAAAAAAAAAAAAAGAAAAGCATTTCAGCTTCTAAAAACTGCAGAATTACTCAAGCTTGTTAACTTACAATTCCCAGAAGGGCAAGACCAGAACCCAAATTCAGAAACAAAGGGACAACACTGAACCGACCACCCTAGAAGAAACAAAAGTTATTTTGATTTTCTTAGTATTTACTCAAATCAGGCACAAGAAAAAGCACTAGTTATTACAAATGCAATTATTTCACAATCATTGAATAATCAGAAGTCACAACTAAAGCATGCAGTTACTTTTAAGTCTAGGGAAATCAGTATATTGTTGCCAGATGCAAAACAAAAAGGGGTTGGTATATCTATCGCATACATGTGGTAACTTACCTGACCATAGACCAATACTACATAGCGGATACCATAAGCTTTGAACAGTGTTCTGTGTAGTTTTCCATCTTTTTCATAATATCTGGCAAACCTGGTTTGAAAAGAATAATCAATGTGTCATTTAGGAGACAATCTTTCACCTGATACCACTAAATCTACAGCACATTGTTCATTCTATAAGAAGTGTCCAATAGCTCTTGTCTTTTTTACTAAAAATTTAACAATGAGGGAGTTTACGTAAGGGATAGGGGGTCCAAGAGAGCCTCAATTGTTTGTGACCCCCTCTCAAGGAAATGTGACAGTAATGATAAAAGAGAAGTTGCCATGCCTACCAAATTTCAATAAGGGATTAGAAGGTAACCCTGTTCTAAATGTTTTTGCCAGATGAACCTGCTGTTCACTACAAATTATTACAACTCATAATCTCAGGAGAGACAGTGGACTAAAAACATCTTATTGACAATTACCTGAAGTTATATCCTGGTGCAATTGGTGCCTCTACATCATCTAGTCTAGGAAAAGATAAAATGAAAATGATGGAATAATGATGTTTAACCTTTAAAAAACTGTCTGCCAAATAATTCTCATCATGTTAGAGAGATTGGATCCAATCATGATTGATATTTTTCTTTATTCTCATTACTTGTCTGCATGATATTGTATAGATTAACTACCAGGTTTTGAAGAACTCCTTACTGTCACATTCATGGTGATAAAATGAAACTGAATTTTTCTCATCAAATGTTTGTTTGGAGAATTCCTAGATGGCTCCCATTGGATCATTGGTAATCCTGAATAAACAATGGAAAGAGGGAGGGAAGGGGTTGGGAAAACTGCCTGGATGATGAACTGCCACTCCAAACACCACACAATGTCGCAGGTTCATGTTCAAAATTGCAAGAATTCAAACAAAACTGCATGGGCATATGCAAAACCCCTGACTATCAGAGAAACATTATCTGTTAAAAAACATTATAAAACATTATCTAAAACAGTGTCTTCTTTACCTTCTAAAGGAATATTTTGGCTCACAAGAATAAGTTAAAGGATCAAAGTCACAGTCCCAGTTGATAATAATGCCCATAACACCTCCCTGAAGACAGAGACAGAGTTGAACATGTCAGTAAAATTTTAACTGCCCTAATTTGTGTCAAAACATGGACACGAGTGTCTAAAATTGGACACCATAATAAAATTAGACACTATTGTCTAAAATCAAGCACTAGTACCTAAAATCAGACACTAGTGTCTAAAATCGGACACTTGTGTCTAACATTGGACACTTGTGTCTAAAATCAGACACAAGTGTCTAAAATCAAACATCAGTATCTAAAATTAGACACCAAAGTCTAAAATTGAACACTTGTGTCTAAAATTGGACACTTGCATCCGAAATTGGACAACAACGTCTGAAGTTGGAAACTGGAGTCTAAAATTTGACACCAGATTCTGAAATCAGAAACTAGAGTCTTAAATCAAACACTTATGCCTAAATTCGGACACTGGTGTCTAACATCAGATGCTTGTGTCTAAAATTGGACACTAGTGTCTAAAATTCAACAATAGTGTCTAAAATGTGACAGTACTGTTTAAAATCTGCCACTTTGGTTTAACATTAGATACTACATGTTAGTGTCCAAAATCTGACACTGACATCCAAAATCTGATATTAGTGTTCAATACCAGACAATTGTACCTAAAATTAGACAAAGGAGTCTAAAACTGAACACTTGTGTCTAAATTCAGACAATTGTGTCTAAAATCTGGCAACAGTGTCTAAAATTAATATCTATTGTGGAGATTTTTTTGTCTTGCAGTAGGGAGACTGAAAACAAACTCAATATAGAGGATATATATATGCAGAGAGGAGATATGTAGGGTGACATGGATAAAAAGCAGTAAAAGACAGGAAGGCCTGGGAAAGGGGGTTAGAGCAACTTATTTAGCCTATCAGTATGAAAAGCAATGATGATGATGACAATCCTGAAAAAATTTACCTTATAAGCTAGAGTCTTGTAGTCTTCTCCAGCCTCTTTGACAATGGTTCCTAGTTTGATGATGGGGCAGTGGGGATCTTTATCAGGGTCATAGGTGCACTTCTTCAGATATGATGGATCACGATCAGATGGAATGTTTCGTCTGTTAAGTGAAAAAGAACAAGACCAGAATATACACCTGCTACTGGATTCATCCATTCAGAGGTGTTTATAGGGACATATGGCATGAATAAAAATAAAATGGGGCACATGGTTGAGCTGCTTATGAGACAATCTTGCCTATAGCCAACTGCACTTACCCTGACTGCTTAAACTTTGGAAACTGAACACTATTTTTTATCAAAACCGTGAAGTTCTCGGTTTCCAAAAGTGGAACTCCTGGGCTATAATGAGAAAAACATGCAGAATTACAATCAGTAAACAGAAAAGACAAAAATTGCTTAAAAGCTGAAGTATTTCAATGCCCCCAACTCAGATCTTTTGTTTCAGGGTTCTGGGGGCTAAACTTTAGCCCTCTGGCTCCCATACAGAATAAGCCCTTTATCCAATTAGTTGTTAATCCTTTCCTTTATCCTCTTGACATTAATGTGTGATTCAGTGGTGATATTTTACCTAGGGAGAAACTAGATGCTACTCACTCTTGGGGGTCAAAGAGCTGAGCAAAAACCACCTCACTCACGAATTGCTTTCAACACCAAATTGAAGTTACCCCAATGAAACTGTCTTGGAGATGATCTGAGCCATCTGCATCCTTAAGTCATTTTCTTACTGCGTAAGTTTTCTTATGATAGACATCTTCAAGTTTAGACTCTTAGTTCCATTCAGAAAGAGTTCACTGTACTTGATTGATATTTAAAAATGTGTCAATGATATGACTGCCATAGTCATTTGCCTGAGGTTGAAGAAGATAGTTCACTGTGTTTAACTGTTATACAAAAATGTGTCAATCATATAACTGCCACAGTAGCTAACCTGAGGTTGAAGTGTTGCATAGGTAATTCATCTATTTCCACAGGACACCAGGCATAGATCTCACACACTTTCAAATGAGGTTTATCACCTCTGTCTGCTTTTACACATCGCCCAGTCTTTATTCCTGACAAGTGAACAATGGAAAATGAAAGATTGTTTGTGATTCTGAATGCATTCAGTGTCAGCATGTTAACTTTGAAGGTAGTGTGACATTTATCCTTAGCTTTAAAAATTCCTAAAATAGTAACAAATAGAATAAAAACCTTATTGAATAATCACTGTGTGGACATGCCCATTCTTCTGACAGTAAGTTAATTACTGTAATTTTCTGTAGTGTTCATATTTAGAAAAAAAACATACATGGAAAATAACAGAGAACACAGCTATCTGAGATAGCATAGAAAAAACTCACCATGTCCATAGTGGGTGGGTTCCATAGCTTCACAGTCACTGTCATTATAACATTTCACATCTGTAAGGTCAGGATCTTCTGGGCAAGCACCCTGTGACTGATCTGGAGTGATGATCATGTTTGTCATCACAAAGAAAGCACCGTTTTCCTGTAAAATAAGATCAGTGTCTCTCACTGAAAATTTTACATTATTGTGTTGTGGTTTTAAAGTGTTCTTGGTTTAAAATTTGCCGAACTAGTCTGCCTTTTAATTTTTTTTTGTTTCAGATTGTCATGATGGATGTGAAAAGATGCCAAAAATCAAACAGAAAAGTTTTAAGGAGAGAATAAATTTCAACCACATAGATCAAATTTAAAATGATTAGGGTTATAAAAATCGAGTAGTAGAAGACCATTTTCATGTACAGTACATGTTTTCACTGCAGGCTTTACATTGTGCTGGTACTTCCTTCTTGCCAGAATGACAGAATAGCAAACTAATGAATTCCAAAAGACACTGCAATTACTTTATATCATTCAAAAATAATACAAAGTTGGGCAAGAGAAATTGGGCCTTCTATCCTCTAGCTTCAAGGATATAAAACAAAAAAGTTCAGTCTGTACTGGAGCCAACTGGCCCATCCAACCAGAGTACATCCTGATTTCTATAGCATTAAGTGGCCAGGAGTATCACTGTTCCCCCCCTCCCCTCATGATGGGATACTGGTTGATTACCAGTTATGCATCAGCATTTTGTCTGATTCCCCTCACAGTTCAACAGTACACTTTTATATTTCTGGGTGGAGAGAGGCACTTTTAGAGTTAAGTGTCTTTCCCACAACCCAACACGAAGACCTGGGCAAGTCTAAAACTAAGTCCTTACTGCCCAGAGTCCAGTGCCCTAGCTTTAGGGCTAGAGTGGTTCTTATTCTCCAAAGATATCATGTATCCCAACCACCCAATGTCTGTAGTTTTATAAAATTTCAAACAACATTTTCTGGGCTGGCTGAGTGAAGCTTTGTCAAATCACCAAATAAAGTATGTTTATCGTAGTGCTGATATAAATGTATTGAGAAGTTTAATTAGACAGCTACTTCTTGGGAGATTTCAGGGAAAAACTCTGAGTCAAGAGCTGACAAAAGATGTTATATATAACAAACATTATTTCAGAGAAATAAAACAGGAATAGAAAACCACGAAAGACAAAAATAACAAAGAAAATCCAAATTAAATTGTACCTCGGGTGGAACAATGTAATCTGCTGAATCCCACACATGAATTCCATTGTATAATGGAAAACTATCATTCAACTCAGGTGTCAAGTTTGTTGACGATACTCCTTTAACTTTTGTAGTAACAGAACTGTAAGGTTTCTGTGTGTCTTGGTATCCTTTCTCATAGATTATAACATAGCTGAAACATTGAAAGTAAATGGTTTCAAGACATAATATACCAAAACAGTTTTAACCCTTTCACTCTCAAGATCTCATCAGTAATTCTCCTTATTTTCTGCCATGCAATTCTCATGATGTTAGTTTGGAGAATTTGACAATGGATCAACTAAAAATCCCCCAATTGCTATTTTTCTTTGTTCTCATCACTAGCATTGACATTGTAAGGTCAATGCTCGGTCAATAACAGTTAACTCGGTGAAATACACTACCTCATGATGTGTCTACTTATAAAAGCATGATGTGTTAACTGTCCTATTACACTGTCCAGTTACAAGCATGATGCATTTACTGTCCTACCAGTCCTCAAACTGAGTTGGTTATACCCAATCACATTCGAGAATTTTGTTGTAGCTTTGATTAGAGGTCTTTTTGGCTCATAGTGGGCCTCATATTGATTGGCTGTTGCACCCAGGAATCAAAGGGTTAAAAAGAAACTGCAGAGCAAAATGTAACCGTGTGCTGTGCAATTTATTAGCACTTGTTTATGTTGTGGCTCAATTTTATCCTTGGTTCAAATTTTATATTCTTTTTTTTTTGGGTATTGTAATGTATGATAATGAGTTTGAATGTGTATGTGGGTGTATGTATGTTGTGGTTCAATTTTATCCTTGGTTCAAATTTTTTTTTTTTTTTTTTTTGGGTATTGTAATGTATGATAATGAGTTTGAATGTGTATGTGGGTGTATGTATGTTGTGGTTCAATTTTATCCTTGGTTCAAATTTTCTTTTCTTTTTTTTTTGGGTATTGTAATGTATGATAATGAGTTTGAAACAAAGGAAAAGAAAATTTGAACCAAGGATAAAATTGAACCACAACATTTATATCACCACGATTTGAGCATACACGGGCACTTCGATTTACTAGAGAAGTATTTTACCATATTTCGAAACAACGAAGAGCTTCGAAGGATCACGCGTAACAAACAAGACAGAGCGGGACAACAACATTTGGCAGGTCACTAAGCTAATGAATTCGTTTGATGAAAACGAAAGATCAGCACCGTAAACAGCTGAGAGGCTGTAAGAAAAATGTCTGCTCTGCAGATCAGAAGACACAGTAGAAATCAGCTCCAATAGCTTTGTGTTTAAGCCACTTAAACACTGTTTGTTAAACAGATTCCATTTTGATTAAAAAATGAAGCTACATGTAAAGTCCGTCGATCAGTACGGACTTAGACAGAGCAACAGTTGTAGTTTTTCTTGCAATCAGTTTCATCCATTAGTTTCCAGTTTTCCTCTAGCTAACATGCGAACCAAAATTTACGCGAAAGGTTCAATAAAATAACCATTTATGAAAATGAATAATCGTGTACAGTTAATTATACCCCAGACCAATACTAAGCACTGTTAATCTTGATAAGAGAACAGCTGAGTACAAGAACAAATAGGTGCAAAATTACAGGGGTAGAAAAACGATTAAACTTCTACATGTCTTTACTTCAAGTGTGTATTGGTACCTCGAGGTATAATTGTAGAAAAATCTCACCAGCCACTTACATGATGACGTAACATATTATACTGAGTTGAATAAGTCTGTTGATGATTCCAATTGTCTTACTTTGAATGTGAACCACTTTAGACGTGTCGTATTCGAAGAGAACCGAGGTAAGAGTCTTGCAAAGCCCAGCCATTTTGAAACCAGAAGTTAGAGGCCTGGCTACTTAGTAGGGTAATTGGGTCACACAACAGTCACATGTGACAACGCTGTCAGTTCCAAAATTATATTCTGAAGCATGTTATATCACAGAAGATGTTAAATTGTAGTAAGCACATTAGTGACATACTGACGGCTGTACCTCGTGTCACGTATTTTTTCGTTCTCGCCATATCGTGACGTCATCTGTGATCTTTATTCAACAGATGCACGGCCACATAGAATCGATTTGTACACGAGATCTCTCTGAAGGGGACGTTGGATACAGGGGGAATGGAAAAAATGTTGTAAGAACAATGAAGAGCCACAGGGTAGTTAATAACAGATGATCCTTACGTTATTTGACGTCATTTGTAATTTGATTTAGACGTTCACTTTGATTAGTTCTCTGGAGGACATACGCATTGATTGGTTACGCATTCGGTTACGCCTCGCGTGCCACCTTCTTTTGTTCTCACAGAATCTCGATGCTACCTGTGAAGCACCCATGGCAACATTTGTTGAATAGACACACGTCAAGGATGTTTTTTAGCAGTTTTTTTAAAAATAAGTTTAAAAATAACGGAAAATATTAATATGCCTCGTAAGCGCTCCAGAGTTGAAAGATCATGTTCCCAATTTAGAATGGGCACCTGGTTTAGTCCATTTCCAAGATTCCGAGAGCACTTCCCTTCTCGGTTTTTCTTCGATCTTCTTTTTCCTGCCAAAAAAAAGCTTCCGCCCTTTCATTTCTCTACCTGTTTATTTTCATTTGAATCTCTAAGGCTTCATATGCTCCAATCGGAAATTCACAGAAAATTGGTAGGTTGGAAAAACTAGGGAAAAAAAAAATCATGACTCATCCGTGTTTCTTTGCTCTGTAATGACAACCATCAATCAAAGAGTACCGCGTAATAACTCGTTAATTCTTGAATTGTATAATACGTAAGACCAACTCTGACACAAGGATTTTCAACTGCATTTTTGATCATAGCGTGTCTCGACGTCATTTTTGACGTATAACGGGACAACCAGTTTGGGATCTGTTTCATAAATTTTCTATAATCTGAAAGTGAGGCTCGCCATCTGTTCCGATACTACGTGACGTCATTCAAGATGGCTTCCGGCCGGCGGAGTATGAGTTGTGTTTATTTTCAGCGGACAGCTTGCAAGCTGTTCGACTCTTGGACATTTCGCTTTTATGTGAAACTAACGTTTCTGGCCTTCGATTGAAACAGGCAATCGAGAATTTCACGCGTCGATCAACATCGCTTCGAATCTTCGTTGCCCTGGTACGAATAATAATGTTGATCAAAGAATACAGAATTCCTCTGCCGATGAGCGTGGAAGAGTATAGGATAGCTCAGTTGTATATGATCCAGGTATGGTTCTTTTGTTCCGAACTATGTTTTCCAACTGTCCTACACGTTCGAAGGAGTTGGATCGCGACTGCAAACTCTAGACGATTTCGCATACTGTTTGTTTCAGTGTTTGTATATGTACATGTCAAAGTTATGTACCTCGAACACAGCCTGAGCCTTGTAAACAAGCTTTCAGTTACCAAACCGGCGGACGGCCGATTTTTTTTTTCCTGACGATATATTTATACCTTAGACAGATATTGTGTTTTGACTGTTTCGATTGCCTCGGTAGTGAATTTTCTTGGCTTAGAATAGGCGACAAATTATGCAAAGTTTATTGTGGTTTAGATAGTAACTTTTTGTTGTGGTGTCCACGAATTTTTCTCGCTTTCTCTCTCGTGACATTGTTGACATAGCTCGGAGCTAACTGGATCGAATCATTTCTTGGAAAAACAAGAACATACAATCATGATTTAACACATAATTTGTCTGTTTCACGAAAAAAGTGCGATCAAAAGTCAACTGAGTTATCTGTATGTTATATTTCTCGTTATAATCTTTTTGATGCTCGTATGTTTGTCGACATCGTGAGAGTGAGTGAAATCGAAGTGAAATGCACATTTGCACATATTTGCATGTCAAGTCGTCTGTGAAGTTGACACATTGGCGTGGGCGCTCTCATATGTCCGATCTTCATGTCAAATTTTCCGTCTTCTTTGAATTCCGAACAGCCTCTCTGTTCTCCACACAGAAACTATTAAAACCGTTAGATGCGAGTCAGAGAGCTTAACTTGTAACATCACTGCGGAGATTAAATCTGGGGAACTAAAATTCGAACTGTGGCTTTGATCAAACGGGTGTCGATTTCATTACCTTTGTCATAGCCTTTTCAAATTATTTTTTGGTTCCATAAAATCCCTCGGGGCAGATTTAGGTTCCACATGATATTGTATTCAACACTTTCTGGTATTTTATCTAAAAAACATTTAATAAGGACATCCATAATTTCTTCCTTCAAAAGCCACTAATTTCCCTTTTTTACAATTTTTATTCAAAAAAATTACTTGGGCACATTGGATACCCAAATGATGGAATTCAGCTGTTTTGTGGTTTTAAACATTTTGTTTTGCCGGTCTGAATGAATATGAATGCTTTTGGACACAGGCCAGCATTAGCATTTTGATAATCTTAGCTGTTTTGGTTAAAAAATTTGTACTTGCTATCATAAACAAAATATTTTCACCAATTGCTGAGATGTGCCTCTTAGCTAAATTAAAATATTTGATAAGCTCCACTCAACCATAGAACAGAAAATTCTGTAGAATGTAAATATAACACTGTCTTCTACTTTAGTTGCTCCATAATTTATATAAATGTCAGTAGGTAAATGAATAGATTCATTCCATTTATATTGACTTCAATATCAGTTGTAAATGCCAAGTTGAAGTTCTAGTTGTCTCTTAGGTTAATTTTTTGGGGGATTAATATTTTGTAATTCATAGTCATTAAGTATCTCAGTGATTTTAATTATTGACAGGGATAATTGAGTATTGTTTGTTCTTTGTTTCATGACTGGACAGAGATGGTTACCTCTTCAATAAAGACTAATTTAGCAGTTCATTTCTTAAAAATATTTGGTTGAACTGTAACACATTGAAGACTTTTACTTGATTCCATTTGAGAGCACATTTTTCTTAGATCTTATAAATGGTTGTTTCTGCAACATCAGCATAAGTTGGCTTGAGGGAATTTTGTACCTAGGGATAAGAAAGCACCAGCCAGCAGAGGTTTGAATTTAGGCCAGATCAAGACAGGCATTTTACTGTTTGGGCTAAATTATATCACAGGCATTTCAGAAACAAATAGCTGGCAAGAACACTGGCCACTGCTACCTCTGGAGAACACTGTTAGGACCAGTTGAAAGGAAGCATTAACAAAAGAAACACTACCTCCAAACTAAAGAAATCTGCTAAAAAGTCTTTAAAAAAATTGTAAAGGGTCAAACCCATTTTAAAAGAATCCATGAGTTAAAAGTCATTTCAAGGCTCAGTATACTTTTAAGGTCAATGAAGGATTATTCTTTCACCAGCTTTAAGTCAATGAATGGTTATCTTCAGTTTGATGTACTAGGGTGTTGATTACATCACTGTGATCATAGATACTGTATTATTTATCTTCATTTGAGGGGATTGTTATCATTACATTTTGTAATTTTTATCTTTCAATTTTTTTCTGCTGGTACATTTCAATCTATACTAGAATTGTTTTGATTATCCAAAAAAAAATTCCTATAAAGTATCCTCTTTTCATGTACATGCTTCATTTTTTAATTCTGAGTTAACATTTTGGTTATCTCAAGAGATCACAGTAATAATTGCTCATTATTGTTTGAAAGATTTTATAAGAAAGAACTCTTCATCAGATGATGGTTAGCAGTGTAGGAGAATCACGATCACCCAATACTCCATCATTAGACAAATTAAATTTATAATTTGATGCCTTGTTACCTCTCCTTTACATTGGCCAAAAGTTGACCACATGACTTACAAATAACAGTGTACAAATAAAGATCTGCTCACTGCATCCAATTGCATACTTGTCAGTAGAAAATGTCAAATGCTTTCTCTAACCTATTAGGAAGGATTTTCAGGATGATAGTTCTGAAAAATGAACTTGCCTTGACCTTCAGCCCCAACTTAAAAGCATCAGCTTAGCACTGTCAAATCACAAAATAGTAATATTTTTTTCAACTATGTCCAGTTATTCTTAATTATTTGGAATTGAAATCATTTGCTTCAATTTTGGATATAATTTAAAATAAATATTCGATCCTCCAATAAGAATTCACAATTAACACTTGTGATTACAATTCAAATGAAAGTGTTGATAAGGTTGGCAGCAATGCAGAATGAGGCTTTTTTTTATCACTTGTGGTTTGTAGAATGAAAGAAATATACACTTAAGAATCTCTCATTATGAGTCACAAGATGACCTAACACAGGGTTGGTGGAATGTTTTGTAAGCTTTTTTTTAACTGCTTTGAAGGTGGGATGAAGTGTGCTTAGTGGTGGGCAAAAATTGACACCTGCAGTAAGTGCAAGAGGTACCAATATGAGTCACAAGATGGCTTAGCATAGGGTTGATGGAATGTTAAGTACACTGTAAGCCTTTTCCACTGCTGGGATGTGGGAATTAAAGAAAGTTTGAATGTGGGATGTAGAGTGTTTCGAGGTAGACAGAAATTGACATCTGCAGTAAGTCCTAGCATAGGGTTGGTGGAATGTTAGGTACTCTGTTACCCTTTTTACACTGCTGGGATGTAGGAATTAAAGAAAGTTTGAATGTGGGATGCACATGTATTATGGTTAGAGATGGACAGAAAGGAGGAATGTAATTGTTTGGTGGGTGAAGGGGGGGAGGGGTGGAGCTTCTATGTCTCCCCACCTCTCCTGATAACAACTTGATGAAAGATTGTGCACCAGACAGCTCCACAACACATTTTGTTTGAGTATTTTGATTGAGATTGCACCCATTCCACTCTATCTGTAATACACGCATTTTGAAAGTTTATATGATTCAAAGAAAACTTAGGTTTATTATCTTTGTCATGTTAATTCTATGAGCATCTTTCAGTAATTAACCTGTGACAGTCCTTGTTTTTATCAACAGTCAGTTATTATAAAAATGTTTATTCTTTTGTAGCACAATATTTTAAAACTCTTTTTGAAGAGACATGTTTTTCAATGCTGTTTTAATTCATAGAACTATAATTGTAAATAGTAGGTGGCTTAACTTGAAAAAAAATTCCAATTCAGTGTGTACACCTGTGCATTAAAATCATCACCTGTTGTAATCTTCTTTTGATTGATGTAGAAACTATATACTATAAAGTTTAAAATGGTTTTCAGGGTAAGATGTTTTCAAGATACAATTATTAGTTTGATTTAAATTTTCTTTGTTTTAAAGGGCTGTCTTAATGTATATGGAATATATATTTTGATCTGGATAGAGGAAAATACAAATGAACCTGGTTTGAAATGGATTTGAATGGAAATTTAATTTAAGCTGAAACATTTAGATACATGTAATTAATTTCACTCTATAAATTACCTTATTTAAATAAAAAGTTAATGCAAAGTGAGTCAAATTAGTTTTTATTGACTTCTTCTGTTGTTCCTGTTAGAAAAAGAGTCGGCTGGACAGTGTTGGTGAAGGCAGCGGAGTGGAGATTCTTGAAAATACTCCTTACACAAATGGCCCTGGAGGAAATGGACAATACACAAAAAAAATCTATCACATTGGAAACCATTTGCCTAGCTGGCTGAAAGCAATTCTGCCAAAGGCAGCTTTAAGAGTTGAAGAAGAGGCATGGAATGCCTATCCATATACCAAGATGAGGACAACATGTCCTTTTGTAGAGAAGTTTTTTGTTGATGTAGAAACATATTATTTCCCTGATGCTGGACAGCAGGTACATATTGTGGATCATTGTCAGTATCTGAGTGATTTTGCACCAATCCACTCTAAACCCAACAACAGTCGACGGTCAAATTAAGGTTAATGTTGAGTTAGGAGAGGGGTAGGTGTGCAGTTGCTCAGATACTGATATTGATTCCATATTTCTGCATAGTTTATTTTAGCTTTGATACCAGCATTTTGTCTATGCTATAAAAATTTGCTTGTGAATCATTTTATTTTTTCTTTTCACTTGTCTGCACCAGAGACAAAACACCAATCTTTATTGATTACTACTGAATAGAGTGCTTTGAGTTTGAATTCTAAACAGTCTTCCAAAAAAAACTGGTCAAAAGTTTGTGTGGATTTTTGATATTTTCTTATTGTGGTGTACAATTTCTTTCAGGAAAATGTATTTAATTTATCACCAGTGGACTTACAGGGAAGGGAAGTAGGTCAGTGTCTTTATCTACAACATTGAAGTTTGTGTTTTCTAGAATGTGACTGTTGTGTGGATTTGTAAGAAAGCTTGCATCTACAGGTAATTTGAAGCTGCTGAATGTATGGCAATCAATATGGAATTTTGTTGCTTTAGCTTCAGGAAATAAAATTCTTTCTCTTCCAAATGGTATTGACCAAGAGATTTCTGCTCCTTATTCCTATGCTCACCAGCAAATTTACTTTTGTGAAAATTTTCTTACAGATATAATTGATCCAATTAAGGATCAAGTGTCCTCCTCAGACTACTCTGAAGAAGAGGATCCTTTGTTGTATCAATCTACCAAAACAGGGCGGGGCCCTATGAAGGAGAACTGGCTGGAGCAGTACAGAGTTGACAAGCCTCCATCTGATGTGATGTGTGCATACAAGCTAATAAAGGTTGAGTTTAGATACTGGGGAATGCAGGTAAATGTTGATAAAGAAGGATTTCTATGCTTTGTAGCTTTTAGAGGGTGTTTTAAATTTGTCTTTTTTTACTAAAAACTTTCTACGTAGCTTTTAGATTGTGGTGGACAAAGGTAATTGCCTGTACTTGTTAAAAAGAATCCTCTTTCTACAGAGAGGATATTCTATTTTTGCCTTTTTTTTTTTACTTAAAACAATCATATCCACTGGATTACCAAGAAGAAAATCAACCAATCAGAATAGTCTCTCTCTTAATCTTTCGTTGGGCTCCTCACGCAATACATTATCTTCCAACAAGACAACGGGGGAAAGAGCTTGTTTGTGACAAAGCTGAAGCCCGGTTGCAAGGGAACTATCAATCAGGACTTTTTCTCGGGGAAAAGTTCACCCTTTGCCAAACATGGGAAATTTTGCGCGAGGCTAAGCATGGCTGATTTCATTCTTGCTTCTAGTTGCTTGAAATAGTCTTTGACTACGACGATTGTTTAATTGAAAAAAAACTTTGAGTAAACGTGAGTACTTAAATTTGAGGTTGGCAAAAAAGGTGCTCTACCTCAAAAGTTTTGGAAATACGTAATTGTTCATAGTCAATTGACATGTTATCCATTCGGTTTTTGTTTCAGAATAAAATCGAACATTTTATTCACTCGAGTCTGCGTCGCCCGATGCTAATGGGGCACAGACAAGCTTGGGTGTGGCAAGACGAGTGGTTCGGACTGACAATCGAGGATATAAGAAAGTTAGAAGAAGAAACACAAAGGGTGTTAGCCATAAAAATGTGTAGATTGTCCGATCATGGTATATCTAACACTGCTTCTGATAGAGACAGCGACCAGGAGGTGGGCTTTGCAAACGACAAAGGCCGAGGCAGTGTTGTTTATGTCCAAGAAAGCAATAGTGCCTCCAGGTTAGAACTAATTTCTAAAGCTTCGCTCGACGAAAACGAGAGCACTATCTCTCCTTCACCCGTCGCAATCACGGTGGAAAAATTCGGATTTGATAATGAAGATAACGCAAGGAACTCGAACGGTGTGGAATGCAATGGCTTAGCTCAGACAGACCTAATGAGTTCTAACGCTGAGAAACGATTGTCACGTACAGATATGTTAAAAGGTTGGCATATGAGTACAATTGAAGCCAATGATTCGGATTCAGCAGATGATGAATTTTTCGACGCTCAAGGTGAGTTTAATTTTTCCTCTCTGCTAAACCTTTTTCATAGGGAAAGATGTGGGCGGGGGCTCTCCAGGAAGTTTTAATGACGAGGGGCCATCGATAAATTTGAATCCTACGAAATCCGTTCGTTTTTTACCCAATTTTATAAGAAATAAGTGCAAATTATGGCATAGAAGCCTCCTAGATCCACCTCCCATATACTTAGTATGCTTTATGGAAAAACTTTGTGCAAAAAATTGTCCGTAGTATTCATGTAGAGCACCTACGATACCAAGTTAAAACCCACTTGAAAGTTTCCAGTCCAGACGGACACTCTTCAAGAAGCTTAAAATTGAAATTTTGTTATACCCTGTTAAAGATTCTAAACCCCTAAAACCGTCTTGAAGATGTTAATGACATATTAATGCAATTAATGGAATATTAATAGATTATTAATGTCAATAATTTACGATAAAATTCGCATTTTGTTTGTCTCAAATTCACGACGGGCTTCAAATAGAAATATTACACTTGATGTAGCTACCATTTTTTGAGCGTGTTAACTCCTAGTTTCTCTAAGTTTTTTTGAGGGTTACATCGTTTTGTACAAATCTTTCGATATTGCGGATTGGTTGTTATGAATGGAGGGGAATCGTTCACATGACCCTCTCGTCAATTCGGCCATTTTAAACTTATTAGTGGTATTTTAAAGTAATATAGATTCTTCTTAATATAAAGTAATATATTTTTTTTACTCTGTAAACATTTTTTTTTATATTTTTTTTAATAGCTAGGTTTAATTAACAATCTTGTATATATTTTTTTAAATATTTCAGTAAACATTTTTATATGAAAGGTTCAATTGATTGATTTTCTATATTTTTGTGAGGAAATTTCCTAAAACATTTTTAATAGTTGGGTTTAATTTAAAACTTTGTATAGCTAATAGGTAGTAGGTATGTCTACGACAGCTTTTTTAGCTGCTACTTTTCGACCTACGTTAACAAACAAAGCATGTATGTAACGTATGTGAAAGCCTGATACGTCCTGTTTGAACGAACACGTTTCAACAAACAAATTTTCATGGGAAAGGTACTTCTGGTAACAGAATTACCGCTTTGCGATATGAACTTAAAAGGTTCTTATCGTCTAAGGTGAACATATCTGACAAAATAAAAAGCACTAAGAATTCTTTAGGTGGTTATTCTCGTACTCACTTGATTGTTTTCTCGTCCGTCGACATTGCAGAGGAATTTGAGGAGCATGCTTTTAGCTCGAATCTGCTGACCATACGTAACGTGGAACTGGGTAACAGTTTCAAGAGTTTGGAGTTGGACACAGATTCTTCTCGGGGCAGTAGAGAGTCGTTAGACTCATTGGCGTCTGAACAGAGCGCAGATAAGGTGATTTTAGTGAAGAGTGTTAGTTCAATTACTATGAATCAAAATAACGCTATTAATAAATACAGCTACTGAAAGACGTCTAAGAAAGGACTGTGAGTAGAAGACTGTCCGGCGCCATAGTACCTCTGACTAACTGTGTAGTAATGCAAAAATCAAATAAATCACAACAGCCAATCAAAAAAAAGGTCAACATCACAACAAACCAATGAGAACTTTAGGTGAATTGACATAAACCATCAGAGACCGGCTCAAGCTAGGGAAAACGCGCTAAACTGCCAAGGAGAGATTGGTTTCAGTCGCTTGTCCATCTGATTGGTGGAAAGGACAGCCTGGGTTTCCGTAGATAGTAACAGAGGGAAGTAATGCAGGAACAAAGCAATTAAAGATTATTTCAACACTTAAAAGAATGGCACGCATGTGTTAATGATCGATTTTCTAAGTAGAGGCTCCTGATGCAAATTCTTGCGAATCATTTTAACGTAATTTTCTCTTATCTTTTAGTCACCTCGGCTCTTAAGAAAAGAAAAACTTTGCAAGAAGGTTAGTGATACTTCGACATGCTCTATACCAGGCTCTCGCATCACAAATCTCATTCTGGTCATTAACGGCGGCACGCAAATAGACACTGGACTGGAGCCTTCGTCGCGTGAAATGGACTTTAAACTACTCCAGGATGCATTTGAGGCTGTGATAAACTCTCACTACAGAGGAGCGGAAGGAAGGATCGCACTGAGACTCGTGGAGTGTCCTGCCATTTGCTCCAAGGCTCTTAATCTGTTGTCTCAGCTGTGTCCCTATTCAGAAGGTGACTCGGGTAAGAATTTAAAATGTGGTTATTTTTTATTTGCAGAGCAAAACCCCACAATGATAAACCATCTAAAAATTTTCTGTTTAAAATTAGTTGTATTATTTGATGTAACCAATGCAGTGAGATATTTATACATACGATTTTCACTTTCTCAGATGTGGCAAGTGTAAACAGTGGCTTCACCCCAGTCTCCAGTAATTTTCCTCTCAGTGCGATATCGCTGATGGTTTCGTCGTCCCCATTTTATGACGAGGCAGTGAACTCCATGGTAACTGCCACAAACATGGTGTATAGAGAGTTCTTGAAGTCGGACGAGGGCCAAGGCTTTCGTGGAGAGGTCAGTCCAAAAAAATGATACTTTTATACTAGCCAGCGGGACACACAGAGTTGTTTCCTTTTTTGCGTCTTTCGCACGAGCGAATGGTTTCGTTTGTTGTTGGCTTACGCAGCGTTTCTTGTAGGGGTATTTCCTGAGAGTCACAAACACTCCTTCTTAGATTTCCCAGGGTAAACTTAACATGAGCAAGTTAAGGAAATGAACGTTAAAAGAAGACGCACCCTACATGTAGCTTCGTAGTTAACAGCTAAAACGCAAGTCTTACTCATTTTATAGAGGTTTACCTGACTGAATTCCCTAAATTCGTGTCTTTTTTCGTATTTCTGCTTCAGGTTTGCCTCCTCGGCGACTGTATAGGTGCCCTTCTCGCTTACGATGCCCTAACCTCCGGTGTCAACACCACGCATAGCCGCACTCAGAGTTTCATTACAAACACGTCGACACTTTCCCCGAAAGCCGCGTCATTCGCTGCAAGGCAAAATGTAGACTCAAACGGCGGTTTGATGAGGAAACCTCGGCGGATCAGTAGTCACACTCCTCCCTGCAAGAGCAGTCTGGAGAATTCTCACAACCTTAGGCTGAGCCTGAGCAGCGGAAACATTCGAGAAAATGTTGACCCCGAGACAGACGAGATGATTACTGCTCCGCCAGTGGATGAGATGGAAGACAACGCTATAATCTCACCTCGCCTTCTCAGCAGGGCGGCCAGACAGCATACGTTTAGCTTCGACACTATGTCCTTGTCGGTAGAGTCAGTGGACAACGTGATGTTCGATTTTGAAGTTAGCAAATTTTTCGCGTTTGGTTCGCCCATTGGACTTGTGTTAGCATATCGAAGGTTCTTGAATGGGGAAGACAGAGGAGGTCTTGGTAAGAATTTATCATCACAAATTTTCGCCCCGAAACCGTTGTGCTTTTAAGCCTGGTTTCCGTTTAAAGTGACAAAAAAAAATGCGTTAAGCGATCGGGATGAATATACGGATGCTGAGCCAAATGATCATAAACGGCGGAGATGATAGGGAAGACCTGTATCTTTCGGACAAAAATGAGGTTATATCGCCAGTATCTAATTCTCCTTTCTGTATCAAAATGAATCAGCATTAATGGCGGTGATCGCAACTACAGAAGCTCTTGACTGTTAAACTTATTCTTGGGATCAGTACCCAGTATACGTAAAGAGATGTATAGAGAACAGTTTGGACAATATGCATACTGATGTTAGGGTGTAAAGTGGAAGGCTCTGTTTTGAAAATTATCGCGCGGATCATACCAATTATCACAAAAGCTGATGCGACCGGTAAAATCTAGGTAATCATTTGGAAACCAAGCCATGGACATTTTGTTGCGCATGCGTCGATGGGAAAGAAGCTACGTCAATCATTGCTTGGTGTTCTGCCCTAAGGGCGAGGCCTGGAACAGCTCTTTAAATTTTTTTCTAATCCTGATTTTATTTCCCTTTGCTATTAGCTCTTCCGCCCAAACCTGCTTGTAACCAGGTTTACAACCTGTTTCATCCGTTTGACCCATCAGCATCCCGAATCGAGCCTTTGATCGTGAGTCAGTTTTCCCAAATTCCGGCCGTTAAGGTACCTCGTTATCACCGATTCCCATTGGGTGATGGCCAATCACACGTACTCAGCAACGTCATCGGTGCTTACCCAGAGTTGTTTGTTCCCCAACCGCCTTTAACCCCTAGTTCCCGGTCCTTTACGGGCATGGTTCAACGAGAGAGCAACCTGAGCACGATAAGTCTGGTGTCTAGTGACAGTTCTGGAGGGGCAGATCTGGATGTGGGTATGTCAAAAAAGGAAATGATGAATAGCTTAAGAAGCTCCTGAGTGTCAAACAGATTCTCTTTGTCAGTGTCATAGTAAACGTAAAGAGAACAATGCGCAGAGTAGGAATATATTATTATTAAGGTGAAAAGGGATAAAGTAATCTTGGATTGCATTGGTTTTTCTTCACCACGTTCCACTAATATGACTGTGTGTCAAATGTCCATTCTAATCCTGTCTTCCATCTCCTTTTGTAGCTGTTCAAAACTGGTGGGGGATCAAGCGCGTGGACTACGCACTGTATTGTCCCGAGGGACTTCAACAGTTTCCCACAGCTGTACTCTCGCCTCTCTTCCATGTCAGTTATTGGGAGTCTAATGACGTGGCTGCGTTCGTCGTCAGACAGGTATAAACCGGTTTTGTCGCTTGTAAATTCTCTTGGCACCCTTGCCCTCACCCTATGCCGGAGAATTTGGTACACAGACTTGACGGTGCGGTTAGGTCACTAAAGCCTCCACAGAAAATTCATTATGGTGTGTATTTGATTTGTTGACCGGTGAATCTTATTTCTGATATCCGCTTTTCATTCGTTTAGATTCTTCATGGGGAATGGGACATTTCAAGTGCGTCTTCTCCCAGCAGAAAGTGTCAGACGTTTTGTCCCTCCCAACCCAGAGAGAAGTGGTTGAAACGGAGAACTGCCATAAAAATCAAGGTATCTTTCCCACTGAAAAGAAATTTCCTGTTCAAACGTGCTTAGCTTTCCATCATGTTCATGTGACACCTGGAGTTGTGTAGTTTTACTAAATTAACGTTGCAACCTGTGATCTACTTTCATACTGTTATCCAAATTTCGTGTTTGGAAAAGAACCGGCGGAACGTTTTGAACGATTTTAAAGCTTTTTAAAATGAAGAATCAAAGGGGAGATGCACAAAATGAAAAAAGTTGCTAGAAAGTCTTACAAGTTTGTTAGGGTTATCCTGAAACAGTGTTGTTTTACTTAACCGTGAACGTCAAGAACGAATTGTTGTTTGACAGCCCGAAGCATCTTCGGTAGTTAACATGACCATTACAAAATTTTGGTGATTGAAGTACGATTACTATCATATGACCCGTAGGGCCCTGCGGGCAATCCCGTAGAAAACCATGGTGAAAGCTGACAAGTGTAGTTATGACCTCGAGCCAAATATTTTCCCGTCCAGCTCGAATAAACTCAGTCTATAAGTACATATTATTCATTTTGATTCCTTGGCAGAACCTGAACGCCAACCATAGAGCCAATGATTTGGTAACCCTTGAAGGTCTTGACCAGGTTCTCACGGCCAGGTTCATGTATGGACCTCTAGATATGGTATCTCTGAGCGGTGAGAAGGTAATGAACTCTTCATGATGGTCCCAATACACTCTGTGATTGGTTTTGAGTACTCACGTCACGTCACGTTGTGCTATGTCACAGCACGCCACGGTTTTAAAACTCACGCCACACTTCGGCCAATCAGTTGTAAAACTAACGCCGTTCGCGACTTGTGCACTTGCGTTGTCCTGTTCTTAAGATTTGCATGTACTTAGCTTCTATATCTATGAGCTCGATGTAATGTTTCCTTTGTTTGATTGGCTTTTGTAACTGCTTTCGCTTTTGGGTGTGTGACACTCCTTAGAATTAGGAAATTGTATGTTATGGGTAAGAGAGATATGTTCGGCGAATCTTATGTAATACGAATTTCTCTCGCGGTTGCTCTCTAATTCGTTTAGTATACATTGGTACAAGCCTTCTATCGGGCAGGGAACCGTTATAACGTGGTTAAGAGCAACTAAATTTTTTTTAAACTATATCCGCCGTCCCATCCATGGAGAGCTTGGAAAATTAGTCAGCGGACACCCTTAAATCTAGACAAGTTGGAAGCAATAGATAGAGAGTTGCTTGAATACTGCATATCAGCAGGGACTAAAATTTGAGTTCCATGCATGAAGGTGTCTAAAAGATCTTACACACTTCGTGGTACTGAAACCGGAACAAACTCTCCCCACAAGGGCTGATGTTTTGCTAATCCTTTGTTTCCATTGCCCTTTTGTAGGTCGATATTTATGTAATGACCGAACCTCCCTCGGGAGAGTATGTTTTATTCGACACCGTGATTACCGGAAGCGGAGGAAGGCTATCGTGTACTATTCTTGAAGAGAAGAAACTTCCGGTTGGCATTTACCCAGTAAAGTTGGTCGTCAGGTGTGTGAAATGTCTATGGTCATACTAGGAACCTAGTAGATCTGGTCCTTTGACTCTATAGATCAGAGTAGAAATTCTCCCCTCTTGTTTCTACTTATTTCCTTGTAAATATGTTGTGTGATATTGGAGTGATATTGATTTGATATTGTGAGGAGAAGGTATATCTTAATGGCTTCTGATATTTAGAGGGTTAAGCGTAATGTATCTAACTATCATACTAGAGGAATATTATATTACCTTATAGAACGCTTCTCACCGTAATTTGAAACGGATTTAGAATGTGAAAGGGCTTGTTGTTCAAGGAAGACGAGACAGAGATTGGTCGGCAACAAGAACCAACATCGTGATCAATTAGATTTGCATCTCACTTTGGTGGACGCGAACGATCCTAAACTCCCCATCTCTATCCTTCAGTGGCATCAATCGATTGAACGTAGGTACCAGACTTAAGTGTTTTTTTAATCTTGCCTTTTTTCTTTCAGAGGTGATCATACCTGGGTAGACAGTAACGTGGCCGTTTTGCCGCCTAAGACTGAGGCTGTGGTTTTCAGTATCGACGGCTCGTTTGCGGCCAGCGTCTCCATTCGTGGTAAAGACCCAAAGGTCCGTGCAGGTGCCGTGGATGTTGTTAGGTAAGTTAAGTGTTGTGTGACGCAGTGGAAGAATCATCATCGTCATGATCATCATCATTTTTTTTTACTTTTTAACAATTAAAAAAAAAACTTATCTACAGCAGTTATAATTTATAGAAGGCGAAGAGACCCAGGAAGCCACCGAGCTTCCTTCATTTCTCGTTAGTGTTGTTTTACACACCCTCCCCACCCAGTCTCTCTTACGTCCTGGCTATTCTCTCATCAATAAATTTTTGTCTTCTTCTAGACACTGGCAGGAGTTAGGATTCCTAATCGTTTACGTCACAAGTCGGCCTGATTTTCAGAAAATTAAAGTCATGTCTTGGTTGGCGGAGCACAATTTTCCGTATGGTCTGGTTTCTTTTGGGGATGGAATCTCAAAAGACCTTCAGAAACATAAAACTGAGTTTCTTCGATACCTTGTCAATGATGTAAGTAACTGACCACAGAGGTAAAATGCTCAAACGATAGAACGCAAATGGAATGAACCTATTATAATAAAAACGAACGGTTGTGTATATAAACGAAAGAACGAAGATACGAACGTACGTATGTCTCTGTGTACGACGAACGAATGCAGACGCGAACAAATTGACCCAGGAGCGAATTTAGAAACCTTACGAGAAGTTTAAAATTTTCTTATGAGTTATATAAGCTCAGGTTTTATTCTCTAAGGAAAGGCAACTCACGCATACTGAGCCAAGGAAAATACTCTGCTCGTAGATTACTTTTTTTTATATAGAGAAAGACACTAAGCCTTTCCTTTTTTCTGTCTGGCAGTGTCAAGTACAGATTCACGCTGCGTACGGATCAGTAAAAGACATATCGGTGTATTCGTCAATTGGAGTCCAACCACATCAGATATACACAGTGGGAAAATACCATCCAAGGAAATACTCCAAACAAACTCAGGTAATTTTTCGGCTCTGTTGAGTGCCTTGCAGCACACAGAAAAGTTTCCGTTCGTTCATCTAGATTGAACTGCACAGCCGGTGCCAAGGTGATTATCTGAGGTTCGAGTTTAAACGCGCGCGAATGAAAAAGGTTTCTTGTCGACAGAGAGGTATTAGTTTGATAGATTCCTCTTGGTCTACTCGCTCACCTTTCAGTTTTTGCTCTCTAAACCTATTCCCGCGCACAGCAGGATTTATTTGCTCTAAGTACCAGGGGAGATCTCAAGCGTTAGGAAGTCCTCGCATCCATTTGGAATAACAAGTTTGCATGCCTTCAATATTAACATTTCACCAAAAAATGGCAGCTGATTCCTCTCGCCCAAGTCTGAAGGGTTTTATTATGTCAACAAAGTGTCTCTTTCTTTGTTTTCAGTTCCTAAAAGACGGTTACGCAGCTCATTTGACTGCGCTCACTACACAAACTATTTCAAGGCCTGCAGTGGGAAATTCTCGTTTGATCCTTAGGCGCGGTTGTTTTGGCCTTCCCTCGCGTGTGTCTAAGACAAGACACAGGCTAAAACGGTCAATTTCAGACAAACCTTCGTTTGAATCTGACAAGGATTGCTCGACAATATCAGGATCGTTTAATTACTCTTCCTTTAGACAGACTAAGGGGCGGTCGGTGAGTAAGTTTAATGAACAGTAGTTGAGGAAAATCACTCTTAAAGTCAGTAACTTGTAGAGGATTGCATTTAAGAGAGGAATTGTACATATATACAGAGATCATTTTCATTTGTGTGCGCGGTTTTGCGAAGATCTCAGGGCTTCTCCTCAAGTGTCTCACGTCTGAGACACATGTTTTGCATACCACGTGACTTACGTTTCAGCCAGATCTCTCGAAAAAAGCGTGTTCGTCTGAACATGTTCGGCTTCCTTTTTCTAGTGAGTTGAACCGATGCCTCAAAGTCCGTGATTCGAGTCCCAGGCCACCCTTGTAAGTAGCGAACTAGTTTTGCCATCTCGAATGGGAGACTGGCAACCATTGTTATGCTTACATAACACGGCTTTTGTGGCACTTACTTTCTTGGCCTGACTGGCATTGAGCTTCTGAAATTGTTTTGAGATTTCACGCTTCCTCCTGTCTATATCGTAAACTTTGGGTTATTTAGATAAAACTGTGTGTAAGTCAACATTTCTGCGCTGTTGAGAAAGTGTAGTGAAACCCTCTATTCATGGGACACTAACTCAGATTTTTAAGAAACCGTTTTATTTAGGATTTTCATTGAACAAAGGCACATCTTTTCAGGGGTGTTTCCCTTCGTGTGTTTTGTGTTAGTGTATGCTGTTTCACCCTGTGTTTAACAGTCAACCTGTAAGAGATGTCGGCGATTTAGATTAGCAAAGTTGTAACCACGAAATAATTATTGATTATCAAAGAATGAAAGAGTAACCAATGAATATTATGTTATGTTATTTAGCTGTCAATTATCTGGCTGGTCCATACATAGACATGTATTTTTACTTATAGTGTAATATTATTGCAGAACATATGCCGTTATTATAGTTTATCTATGTCCAGACTTGACTGTCTTGTAATAAGGAAGAAATTTAACTTAATCGAATAGCGTCGAACATTCGTCGTCCATTTTCTTCTTTTTTTTTTTTTTTGTTCTAAGTGTAAATTTATAAATCCAGGTACATTAAGATATCTTGCAAGAGAGAATTTGTTATAGATGTTCCTTGTAATTTTAACTTGAACGTAATTTCTAAGCAATCGAAACAAAAATCTTGATGATCTGAAAAAATAATCGTTAAACACTGGTGCGTAATCATTTTCATTTGTTAAGAAATAGAGCTGGCCTTTTTCAGTTGTCAATGTCTTAAAAAAAGAGCACATTGTGACATACAAGAAAATGATATTGTAAATAATTAGTGTATTTATTATATTAAGTTCTAAGAGTATATATTGAAAAGTATTTACGTTATGATTTTTTAATGATTCCAGACTTGCTTTGATCAGCAGGTTGAGAGTGTCATGCCAAATAATTTTAGCCGAACAAAAATTTTATTGTTTTCCTTTTTCGTTTGAATGCAGCAATCAGATTATATCTCCGATCATGTGTCGGTCAGAACTCCCTTAAACTGGTTTCTGTCACGTGCTAGCTGAAATAGTAAGTTTTTGGGTCACTTATAAAGCGCATTTCGATTGAGTGTCGTATAATCAAAACCAGAGTAATGACAGCTGTCAATCAAAGGAAGGAAAGTATCGTTAAGAGGGAATGAGAACGCGAAGTAAAGAAGAGCAAACTGCCTGAAGCGCGGGAAAACGCAAGTGACCAAGTCGCGATTTGTTTTAGTTTTGATCTGATTGGTTGAGAGAGCAGCACGAGTTTTCTGAACTAATCACAAAACGAACTAAAACAAAAGCAAAGAAATCAATCCCGGAATACTGTCGATACTAAATTAAAACTTGCCCTTTATGTTAGAAGAACTTTTGGTGCACTGTAACAATTTGCAGTGATAGCAAGTAGTCTAGTTGAATAATTACATTGCAGACTCAATTGTTCGTTTGAGGTGAAAGAAATCGAATTTCTCGAAGAAAATCGCAGGACTCTTAAGCCATGTAAATGCTTCTATTGTGAATTAATCAGTAGTTTGTGGTTTGACTCCTATGCACCGTAAGATGTGTTGCTGTATTTCAAAAAGTTGATCTTTATTTATTTGTATAATGTGTTAAATATTGTGTGAATATTGTGAAGACAGTATTAATTTATTATAGTGTTGTAATATAATGAATCTATGTGACGATTAGGAACGTAGTGAAGAGACACACCCTAGGTTATCAGAGAGAGTACCCCCGGTTATGCCAGCAGGAGAAGTTTATATATTCCTCCATGTTTCGCGCCTTTCACTCCCACGATTTTTCACTCCCCAGATTTAAGTATCGATTCTCACTACTGTCCTCCATATATCTTTTTAATTCAACCTTCGAGAATTTGGCTTTAATCCAACTATATCCCTCAAGTGAAATATAAGTTTGCTTTCCATCACTTTCCTGTATAATGATGTTTTGATGTTTTAAGGGGGAACGACTCATCACTCACTCGTGGGAGTGAAGGGTTAAATTGGAAAATATGGTACCCAGGTAGTGAACTAGTGTTAAACCGTACAAGGTGAAAGGAATGACCATGATATAAATAATAACAACTAGAAACATGTACAGTGAAGTTGTAAATGATATTAAACAGTCATTTCTGAGTTAAAATGCTTTGTCTTCTTGAGATTATGTCTGTGAGCAGGAAGTGTGACAATTTGCCCTTCCTTAATCGACTTCTTCGCTTTGAAGCCCAGGGTAAAAAGAATCAAGCGTGTCTGGTCAACGCCTCAAACTAGATAATCGATGGAAAAATAAACCAAACTATTTTTCCATTTCTTGAAGTTTTCAACCTGTGTTTTCATTCCTACAGTAGTGAGAGGGTGGCCTGGGTTCGATTCCCACCTCTGTGGCCTGAGTTCGATTCCCAGAGCTGACGTCACATGTGGATTGAGTTTGTTGTTGGTTCCCGTCCTTGCTCCGACTGTTTTCCTCCTGGTACTTATTTTCCTCCCTTCACAAAAACCAACATTCTAAATTCCAATTCTACTTGGAAACAGTGGAGGAAAGAGCCGCGCACTTCGTGGAATGTTTCCGTTCCCGTCATTATTGTTATTATTACTATAATTACTGTTTGAAATGCTGTTTTTTATTAACTGAAAGTGATTTACCGCCGATCCACATATTCCGACTGTAAGCAGAACCTTAAAACTCATGTTACATACTCATGGCTCGTTGTTGAGAATTTTATGTCACACTTTTAGATAACTGAGAACTAGTTACTTCAGTCATATGGCCGGAGACTTTGCGTCAAGCTATATCTGTATTTTTTTTTTTTTTACTGCAACGGGATCCAACTTATCGTGAGAGAGCACTGCTCGAGATAGAGCCCAAATCTTCACGATGACATCGATCAAACTTTCTTTCTTATCAACACAATTCAATACCTTACACCTCACTAGATAGTGCTACAAACGGGGTACTTGGTTAATTCGCTTGAAAAATTCATGTTTTACGGTAGATTTTCATTGAAATATCCCGCTTGGCTAGCGGAGGTAATGATAGGTGAAGGAGGGGGAAGTTACTTCGTCCACGATGCGCTGTCTTCGCAAGTCGCACCCAACTTCAGGAATATACCTCCCTCTTGAATCAATCAACTTTCCCCCTCCTTCTCCCTTCGATCGATAGCCACGCGGGCTATATATGAACAGAAATGAATAATTCATCTTCAAAACGATTCGTAAACCTCTGAATTTTGTTCAAAATATCCAATAAGTCCCGTCTGTACTGAGTATGGTAAATATTAGGTCGGTGCGGTGGTAATTACGACCTGCGGATGATGGAAAGAGGCGGTTGTGATTTATTCACAATTCGAGAAAACAATCACTTTTCAACTACCCACAAGCAAATATTGTCACAACAACAAGTTGACAAGTTTGGAATTCAAACGGCTTTAGGAACTGCCCACATTCTCGCTTGTTGATCAGAGATATGACTCCCTCTTTACCTCTTCAGTCTATTAAAACAATTTTGTATTAGCAGTCCATGGGAACATACAATAGAGGTTCATCAGGAGAGTTTTAAGTGTGGGATACCGCTATTGTTTCCGCGGCTGTTTTCTAAAGTTGATTTGCCTATTCTTTTCTGAAGATACTGGGCTTTATTAGTAGCAGATATGTTGATAATCTTTCAGTTTCAAGAAAATTAAAAAAGCGACTTAAAACGTTTGAATATTACCCTGGAGGAGGGGCTTTCTCGATGTTCGCGAGAATTTCAACATCTGAACGGAAGCTTGTTAATCCTGTTCGGCTGTATTTAAATAGAATTCATTTTCCCCTTTGAGTCGACCACAACAGCTTAGTTTAATCGCACTAATATTAAAAAACCTGTTTTTAGCTAAAAAACTCCAATGAACATAAAAGCTTTTAAGTCGATGGTGTGAAAAGCCTGAGAACAAAACAGCTATGATATTAAATCATTGTCTGTTGTATTATTGAATAGTATAGCATTTTTTTTTCCTTTTCGGAACATTTTAAAGAGATGTAAGCTAAAATGAGATGTCAAGGAAATTTTTTAGGTCTTATTTTACGAGACAGGGAAAGAAAAAAATTTCAATAATTTTTGCCACACGCTCACTATGGTTTTCAATTGGACTTGCTGACAAGTTTAAGCCGGTGCCAATTTGTTCTCGAAGCCACCATCGGCTGCATATAGCCACCTGTAATGATTGGTCATTACAACTTATTGTGAAACCTCATCAAACTTTAATGAAAATAAAACAAAAGATATTTTGCATGGTGCTTTACACAGGCATGGCAACAAAATTTGATATCTGCAAGATGTGTGTGGCGATGAAATTGTCGCCGTCATGAAATACCTTGCTTCACTTCTACCGAATCTCCAGAGAGTTTCAAACCATTTTTGCATTAAAACGCAGCGAGCGTTTTGTACTGAATATAAGTTATCATAAAATTTACCGTCTTTGAAGGAAATAAATCCGACTCTCACCCGCCGCGCCCTGATCGATAGAAGTGTCAAGAATCGCGAGAATTCCAAACGGCAGCTCTTGAGTGGTTTTGGGGTTAAATTTCTCGCTATTGAGACAACAAGCATCACATCCACGTGTCTTTCGAGACATATGTAACCACCTAAATTGATACCTGTTCAAATTTTCCTACCCGCAGTTATTCCATGTTTAATTGTGTGCGTAACCGGTGGATCTATTCTTCTAACGTTCGTAAAGTGAAAGGTTTGGTCCTTTACTGGGAAAATTGCATTAACTGCTGAGTGGTTATCAACTCTGAGTACGAAAGACGTGTCCGTAACAGAAAATCTTAATCGTGCCTCAACATATGCAAGATTGATAACCCAAGTCATTCAATAAATCTGCATGCCATATCCACTGATATACACCTGTGATTTGACATGGTGCGCCAACCCAAAAAATTAAGGAAGCTATTCAGTCTCTGTGTGACCGTATTTGACTTTTTTTTTATCAGCGTTCAATTACTCGACACTGTAGGAGAGAAAAAAAAAACAAACAATTTCGGAGTCGGGTTCAACTACACTGAACGCCACCTTAAAAGTGTTTGAGTAACGGAGCTAAAATTGTAAACAAAAACGTGTGTATTTACCTGACAAATTAAATCAGTTGCTCTGGTTGTTTACTTGGTTTTTCTTATCTTAAACTTTTTTACCTTGAGTTTGTTTTTATTTCTTTTTTATGGTGATCTATGATCTTGAGTTGAAGCAAAGAACACCGGCTTCTTTACATCAGTAACTTAGTAACGATGGTACGAGTGAGCGAGTAAGCCAATCAAATGAGGCTAATTTTCTCGACATAGAAGTGTGAAATTTCTGTCTGTGATACTAAGCCGAAAATTTGTCGCAGAGGGTTTGCGGCGGGTAACACGATGAATTCGCCAAATGTACCTTACTTTAAAGACAACCAGTGGAAGCCATTACACCTTCCCCGGTACAAAATGACCTGGAATAAGGTAGGATGTTATTTGTTGAGGATGCATGTAAAAAGTGAGTGGTGTAGACGCTTTGTCCAATTCACACTCGTAAGCCAACCACTCAGCTGTTATGAAGAGAGTCTCAATGACTCTTAGGATGAATGGCTCGTTTAATTCTAAGCCTTTCCCCTTTGTTCGATCTAAAAAGTCGTCGGCTTTGCTTTGAGCCAACCACGATCATTTTTCCGGGATATCGATGTATAGCGGTGCTTTTGAAAAATACTCACTCGAGACAGCCAGACATTGATACCAGACTGATAATTATGCACTGGTAAATGAATTTACAGAACTTCACCAGATTAGGCATTAGGTCGAATAGTTTTTGTTCCGAAGAAGAATATACTTGAAAAGCTGTTGACCGGAAAAACTGTTTCGTGTATGAACAATTTTTCGTCCATGGACGTTAGCCAGTGGTAATTGCTTCTTCCAAACGTGTTCAAATAAACAAAGAGCTTATAAAAAGTGTTTGATTAAAACTCAAAGACCAGTAGGTGGGTGGGTCAAAGTTTTACCTTTTTGTGATGCATTCAGCTTGGATTTACACAAAAGTTGGCTTGTCTTAAAAAAAGGATATAGTTTGGAACAGACACTGAAGAAAAATAAAATGCAAGTTTTCATTTGATGTTTGAGAATATTGAAAAGGAAAAAAGAGAGTAAATAAAAATAAATGATGAATTATTTTCTGCGTGATAAAGTAAAATTTTTAACGTATACCCATGCTAAAATAGATGGGAATAGTAGGAAATAGCTCGGAGAAGTGCCAACAATGAAAGGAAGGCCTATTACAGTACTTCAAAATCAAACAATTTCTTATTAGAAACTGCGATATTTTCGGGCTAAACCGATGTGTAAACAAGTATTGTATCTCTTTAAACTATACTATTTTGATAGAGCCGCGTATGAGAACCTCTTGCTTTATCACACGATATCGACCTTGATCGCCTGGATGGCTGCAAATCACGTTTTGTTCTCACATACAGTGTTCAAGACGAAGCCCTTATACTAAAAGCTGTGAACGAAAAAAAACGCCCTCATTGTAATAAAACAGAAGGAGAGTTTTAAGAGCGATATCATCGCCAGACTTAAATCATACTTTATTAGTCTGTTATCTCCTTCACAACTCTTATTTGGATTCGCTTGGCAACACGAGAGCGCGTGTGGGTGTGTGCGTGAGTTTGCTGAGAAGGGAGAGTGTTGCGTGACTCGCCCGTTTAACGGTGGCGAAGGAGGTCAACTTCTCTGTCTTTTAGATATGTTATCTCTTAGCGGTTGAAGATTAGTAGAGCTACTACCAGATTCGATCTCTTTAGATGGGGATTACTTTTTGGGTTCCTCTTGGACATTTACTTATGTTGAAAACGAAACAAGGAGGGATTTGTTTTTCCTTCACTTTTCCCGGCCGATAACTTTTCTTGGAAAATGTTCGTCTTGTGATCGCTTCGAATGAATCGTTTCTATCTTTTTCCAGGTACAATATCGTACTTATTCTATAAAAACATGCAAGGAAGGGCTAAAAGAAAGGCTCTGAATATTTTCTCTGAAAATTTGCCGAGCATTGACCCTACGTGATGCAAGAACTGAACGATTTGACACGTTCTCCCTCGCGATATCACAAAAAACTCTTACTTTCAAAAAACTTGGTCTTCGACACGATCAGAACCAAATACGAGCTCGGGAAAACTTTTCCTCAATAGATTGAAGGAATGTATAGATATATGAAGAAGAGTTAAACGGTAGCGGCGAGTGATAGGTGAAAATATACCTATTAAGCAGCCGGTTAGAGCACGCCCTCTGAAGAAAGGAGTCGAAATTTTGGCAGAAACTTGAGTATGGATGGATGCTGTTTGTGCCGGAAGGAACAAAAGACACAGGGAATGAAATAAGTAAATACTCAATTGTAGGCATTTTCTGGCTTAAGAAACGTAAGAGAAGACCTGATGGACTAAAACAACGTGATTTTAAAAACGGAAGCATTAATGGAAAGTTGTACGGCATGTTTCGGCTTTAATTAACATTAGGTTCTTAGCTCCGTATCGAGATTTTACGAATAAGTGAGTTTAGGAAATAACATGATTTGAACAAACTCATTCTGTTTAACAGCAGGTTTTAGCACTGATGGCTAAAGTCAGTAAGGAAATCTATGTCTAAAGTCACTTGTATCAACTTATCAACAAGGAAGCTCCCTTGGTGAATTGAATGAATTCTAGAAACTGTCAATGTGGTTGACAAAGCGTAAAAAACAGGTAAATGAAAAGGGTTTACTTTTCCCACCTGTAGAGCTGAAGTAAGACCTTGCTGGCAGTATAATTGAAAATTTCAGGTTTTTTGCAAATTTTGGCACTTCAGAATGACTCATTGTCAGTTGAGGTTGGCATTGATAGCAAACATTCAGGGTGATATGGAAACCAATTGTACATCAAGTGAAATTTAAAGATCTCATCATCATCAATATCTATTAAAAGAAATTGGCGTCCGGTTGGTCTCGTATTAAATCACAAATTTTTTCGAAACACCTGGATTGTCTCAAACTAATAGGAGGGAAATTAAGTTTGAGAGAGCAGCGTAACCACAGAGAAGTGATGGGAAAACATTGTCCGCAATTAACAACTTCGAGTGCCTTAAACTTCATGATACACTTCTAACCGCCCACACGCTGCCATACCAGTTAAGCACGTGCATTGAATTGAAACCAACAGCTTAAAACTGTTTAATCTTCTGTACAAACACCACAATACACGTGTTGGAAGATGTCCAGAGAATTCTCATCAATCTTCTATTTTCCTGAACATTTTTTTTTTTTTAACCAGCAAGTCAAATTGGATAAGACCCAATTAAGTGCGATGCGTTCTTAGGGGCTGGCTCGTAAGCGGTCGAGAGAAATAGCCGACAATTTTTACATATCACCTCTAATTTGTTAGAGACATTCAGCATTATCCAGCTTTAAATTTTCAATGTTTAAAGCTGAAGTAAATTAATTTTTTTAGTGTTTACTTGACCGTGTCAGAGTACATTTGGGATGAATGGAAGAAGCATGCTGTGGTGCCAAAATAGCCGACACCTTCCATCAGTTGTGTTTGTACTGCAGATCTATAGATCGAAAAAGTTTAATTTACTGCAAGAATGGTTGAAATAATAAATCTGAAGGAGTGGATATAAAGTAACATTCTGAAGTATTTTTTAGCGGTATATATGCATATGACAGTAGTGCTAAGTCGCAGGAATTTTAAGTGCATTAAGACCCTTTTTTCAAGAGCTCTTGTGAAAGAGGTTCATTCATAATTGATCATTGGGTTTCACCTGCCAGGAGTTGGAACGGATTATCGCTTTAGTTCCAGTTACTAATTCACTATGGATGCGAGAGCAAGCTTTTGTGGCCTGGCGCTTTTGCGTTGGCATAACACCAGGAATAATTCACATCCGTTTGCTGACAAACGCGTGTAAAACCCGTGGCTGCTAAAGGCGGGCCTCTTTTCAGACATTTTTCAATTTCCTCGACTGTTTAGAACTGGAAGCATTGCACCGGATCCTAGGTTGCGGTCCTGCAAACACAGAAGAGAAACTTCGCGGCTTTGTTTTGTTATTAAAATTAATTCCACGTAGGAAATGTATTCATTCTCTCTAAGGACGTGGTCGCAGTTGATATGTCTCGGATAGCCAGCGAAGTCTCACCTTATTTCCTTTCTCTGAGATGATAAACAAGTTCATATGGACATCATCCAAGCGCGCGAAGTTGAGAGTTTTTTTCGCACAGAACACATCTAATACGCGCAAAATTTCAACGTTAAAATTAATAGACGTGTCAAGGAAAATTTTTGCAAAGCGACAATCTTGTTCCATGTTTGCATTTCACTCAAAAGAATCGGAAGCTTCTATTTTCACAAGTTCAGTGAGGAAAAACTCAAAACATAGACAGGTTTTTTCAAAATAAAAAGAAAAATGACTGGAATAAAACTATTGTTATTCGCCTTATTTTGGTAATATCTGGAATTTTTGTGGCCACGGTGTTTTTTTATTCACAGCTGTTTGGTCGTAAGTCATAAAAATTTAAACATTTCATCCCCACAGTATTAATTTCAAGAGGGTTCGACAGAGTTTACTTCTGTTTTGGCTGACTTTTGTTCAACAAATACTTCTGCAATGGGCAAGTCATTGAGGGCAAAATAGTCCGACTTGATAAGGGATATTAAGACCTGCTTCTGTAGGACTTTTATAATAGTTTTTTTATTGATAATAGCTTGCCATATTCAGATCTAGCTCGAGCCATGTGCTAATTAGATGAGTCAATACACTTCAATAACAGCGAGCTCTTTGATGAACAAAGACAGAAAGACTTAATCGAGTCCCACACGGCGAACAGCTAAAAAGAGAGCGCGCACAAAGAACTACCAATTATCCGTTTGAAATTGTTTGACTGTTTAGAGAATTTGCGCGCTCTTTAACACACTAGAGTAGGCTATAGTGCTAAGACACATTACGATTGATGCGATTCGCGTGAAAGAGGCACGCAATCAACAAAGGCAGTAATTACAGGACTTTTTACGAGCCAAGCGAATCGCAAAGAACAACCTAGAGCGCTTTACGATTAAGTACACCCGCCCAAATATCGCATAACCTGCTGAAATTGACCAGGTAGTCATCTGTTACCAGTTACATGATTCTTGCCGCGAGTCATTAAGTTTATTGTCTTGGGAATTGTAGATTTCTGCTTAGTAACTTTTTAGTCTGACAGTCTTCCGTAGGTTTTAGTTTACGACCTTTCGTTATGACGATTTCATAAATCTGTGTGCGATTTTGGAAACAGAAATGGCGCCAACCTGTCGGCTTTGGTGACAATTTTCAAAGCTATCTTATCAGGATTGTTTTGATCCGCCGGAAGCCAGATTTCAATTCCTGCGCGATTTTATACGCAAAGCACACACCCAGCTTCTAGTGGAGATTTCAGAATAAATCTGGAATGTATGCCTGCTGTTTTCTAACCGCATACCAGGAATCCGTTTCCTGGACACGATCTTTAGAAACTATTTGGCGTTGGCGACATGAATGTGCGCGCTTTTCAGAAACAGGAAGAAACGTTTCTATAATAAAAACATTGTGACATAGCTGGCGATCGGTTAGGCGACGAAATCTACTGGCTGACATTAGAATATGTGACAAGGAACATGAAAAAGGTGCTAATTCTTTCAGAAAAGAACACAAAAATATCACCTCCTCAATGGATTGCATGTCAATTACACATGTCAAGCATTAATCTCGCCGCTTCTGATTGGTCACTGCAAAACGCTCAACCAATCAGGTGGCGGGGTTCATTAGTTCTTATGACATCTTACCTTGTTCCGACGCAGCTGGAATAAACCTTCATCAACAATACACGAGTTCAAGCTCAGAGAGCGTGAGAGAGGAGTAGTAACAGCGACTGAGAGTATGGCATACTATCCGTTCTACCCAGCGAGGATGAGGGATTTTCGCGTCAGTTCTTTGCTTGAAGGCTGCTCACAATTCATCCCTGGCGTGCCAGGAAGTAGCTCGTCGATTTCGAACAATTTAAACTCGAACGGTCCGTTTTCATATTCTCCGTACCATCCACCGCAAATAGCAAAACAACCTTCTCACTTCGGCCCAAGTGCTATTCCTGGTCCTCCGCAACAAGTTCATATGCCAGTTCACGATTCGGAACATGAGAGTATCGATGTCAACTTAGAAAATAAGGATCTATGGCAGAGTTTTTACGAGGAGAAAACAGAAATGGTTATAACCAAAGCAGGAAGGTACAACGCTTTCACTTTTGGCCAGCAAATGTCCGGTTTATGTAGCCTTGGAATTTCGCAGCGAGGAATTGTGTCGATTTAAACGCCTGGAGGTCTCGATGCGTTGCAAATACCAAATTGGTTCCAAATTAAACAGACAATTTTGTCTGCGAAAAAGCTAAACAATCCCGTTGAACACATTTCACTCCTTGAGGTGTAACACTTTTAAGCCGGCCAAGAACCGTCGCCGATTTCATCGCCCATGTAAATTTGAAACGTTCGTGTCCTAATATTTTTGTCTTCTGTCAACAGGCGTATGTTTCCGCCAGTGAAGGTGCGCGTGACTGGCCTGGACCCTCGGGCAAAATATTTCTTTCTCATGGACATTGTCCCCGCAGATGACTGCCGATACAAGTTCCACAATTGTCGCTGGATGGTGGCTGGCAAAGCCGACCCTGAGATGCCTAAACCTCTCTACATGCATCCGGATTCACCAAGCACTGGAGCGCAATGGATGCAGAAAACTATTTCATTTCACAAGATGAAATTGACGAACAACATCGCAGACAAATACGGCTATGTAAGTTCCTTTTAAGCCTTTGAAATCAAGCCTCTTTATTCGTTTTTTCATACATTGCCGTCACATCTGTAATTATTTTTGTTTGTTGATTGTGGTTGATGGCCGATTTATCTCTTTAGTTACTTACTGTTTACTCGCTTTTCTGTCCCACAGACAATCCTAAACTCGATGCACAAATACCAACCAAGAATCCATGTTGTAAGAGCGGATGATACTTACAAACATCCCTACAGCAATTTTAAGACTTTTTCATTTCCTGAGACGGCATTTATCGGAGTGACGGCTTATCAAAATGAGAAGGTTTGTGTCAGTCCAGTGTAAAGTCAGCGATTGCTTTCACCGCTTGGGTTGAATTTCAAATCCTTGTCCCTTTTTTCAAGAGGTTTTGTGTTCGTTAAATTTGATTTGGCTTAAGAGGGAGTTTCGAGTATTAGCGCTTTCATTCAAGGAGCTGTTTGAGCTTTGTTGTCGAATCGTTATCGGTTCATTGGAAGAATGGCCGATCTTTCCATATCAAGTTTATTTTCACTCATACAAAAAGTAATAAGTTCATAAAAATACAGTTATAAGAGGGTCCCTTTGACAAAAATTTGAGTGTTTTCTAAAATTCGTTAAAAGTCAAGAACTTTATTTATTTTACACTTCGATTTTCTTCCTACTTGAAGCGATACATCTAACGGTAATATCTACTGTAGGTTAGCGCTATCCGAAGTTTTAACAATGTTCCAATTTGAACGCCAAATTGGCAAGGTTGGCGTGTCTTTTGAATAAGCTTTGAATGAAAATTGCCAGATTAAAAGAGCTTAAATTTATCTCTCCTCGTTGTTCTCCAATATTTTTCTTTTGTAATGTCTTGGAGAAGTAGAATATTCAGGAATATTATTCTCTGACGTTGAATATTGTGGTAAATACAACCTGCGCTTCTCTTGAATATAAATCGATTCTATTCGAAAGTAGGATGGGAGACTTTTTAGTATTTGCCGAGGTGTTTCGGTTTTAATACTTCATACTTGCTCGTGAATGTTTACAGTTTTCGTGTTTTTAAATATCCACAATAAAATCGTATTGAGGAATTAAAATGTTCATCCTTCCCTTGGTACTGACGCTTCGAGTGACAAACGTCCTTTAAACCATAACCTGGCCGTTGAATTATTAAGTTATCCCTGGTCTTTTGGTAACACAGCTCTGGGGGAAAAAAAAAGTATAGGACTTCATTCTACTAAACTCACGACTGTGATATATTTTTTTCCCTAATAGATAACCAAGTTGAAAATCGACAACAACCCTTTTGCGAAAGGTTTCCGAGAACACGGAGCAGGTCATCGAAGGCGTTTGGAGCGAAGGTACAACTCACTGTACCCTGTTGTATGACACCGATCTATTTGAATTTCATTTTCACCATGGTCCTAGGGTCATGTTAATCTGTTTCACTTAAACGCTGACCCCTTGGGTACAAGTAGTTAATACCCAAGGCGAAGGCCTCAAATTTTTGGTACAAAGAAACATGAGAAAACAACTGTTTTGACACACAAAGCCGCGAACAAGCCACAATGAATATCCTGCGTGCGCGATTTTCACACTTGTCTTATCACCTCTATATTCATTTTGAAGGCAACGCAGCAACCCAGAACATTCCCTAAACGAAGAAGACGATGTTAATAACAGCGACGAGGACGAAGATAGCAAAGAACCCGGCGTTCCTGGTTCTTCAAACGAAATTCACACCGGTGAGTTTAATTCGTTTTACGACACCGCCTTCTTTGAATAGCGAGTTCGCTCAAAAGAAATGTGCCGCTTACCGCAATGGGACAACTTCTGCGCCATTCAAGATCTTATAATTAACTTGCTCAGTTAGGTTTAACTCTCAGAATCTTACTTTTGGTTAAAGAATTCCAGGCATTAAATGGCTAATGGTTTTATTGCCAAGTTTGTTCCGAAATTATTTTATATCCGGACTTAGTATCATCTAAGAGTTCCCTTTTAACGCCAGTGCTCTGTGTAACCTTGGATCCATGACTAGGTAGTCTGGATTTACATTGATATTTCGAGTTTTGGAGTCAAAGATCGTCTTCATTCATTGCGATTCTTTCAAAGTAGATATAAAACGAACTAAAGAAAGATTTGGATTAATCTCAAGAGAATTGTCACAGCTGCTGCCAAGATAAACTCCTAAACGGGACAATTTCATTTAAAAATTCCTCCTTCGTTTATTCATCAGGAAAAACGTTTTTGTACTGTTTGGCTAAGAAATACGGCTGGTTTATGAGCAATTGATTTAATTCTGATGTCTTTTTGTTGGTTCTTTCCGAATAAACCTTTTTTCTTCTGGGTTTGTAGAAAGCTCTCTCATTGATTCAAGTCTCAATTGTATACTCCTTTTCATCATAATTAGAAGCTTCCACTTAGTTTCGGTGGAAAGAAAAGCAGGGCTGTCTAACTCTCTTTGTCTTTTAGTGCTGTGTTTTCTATTTAAGCTTTTTGAAACTAGTTTTTTCAGCATATCAGTATAGAAACCTAGTTTCACATTGCTAACAGGAAAGAGGATAATTACACCAACGTCGACGGTTTTTGCTCTTCAGGATAGACAAACGCTTCCAAAATAATTTAGCTTTTTACAGCAGTGATTTAAACATTATGTGAAAGGATCCAAATTAAGATCCCTCTTTCGATTAGCTTGGCCTTTCGTTTCATTGTAGTAAATAAAAAAAGCAACATTCTACTGCTAACTGCGAAGGAAAGCGCTCAAAGTGACATAGCGTAGAGCATCAACACATTCTCGACGATTCAATTTTGCGAGCCTTTTAATATAATTTTCGCCATGGCCGTAAATATTTCACTGAATTCAGCACTAAAAGTGCGATATGTTAAAGTGACATAGGACTACAGGCGTTTTGTTTCTTGGTAACTCTGAATTTGGTGTGAGTGTTTACCTAGGTTTTCATATTACAGGTATAATCGTTAGGCCTATGAAACGGAGATATTACGGAAGATACAGTAATCACAGCTAAAGAAAAAATATATCCGCGGAAGAGTTGGGCGTGTCTCAATTCAGTGTGATTGAAATTTTTATCATTTTGCTTTTCTTTAGCGTCACAGAATATTTCATTTCCGTATTTCTGTTTGTGTATGAAGTTTGGTGCCAGTGTTTGCTTCCCAAAGTGTGAAATATTGGAAGTTTTTAATTCTGCTCCTCTTTAGACTGCGCACTCGAGGTGCAAATGTTCGTCGGCTCTTGAAACAATCAGCTTTGATTGTGAATTGTAGAGGTGCCTAGGGGTAACGATGAACAAGGATGAATGAATGGTTCATTTCAAACTCTTGTTGTCTTGATTTCGTGCTGGTAGTCCTGAACTTATTAAGTTAAGCTGGGTAAAAGTGGGTGATAATTCTATCTTTTGTTGGAAGCTCGAGGATACATTTACAGTTGCTGACCGAGTTTTCCCGCCTCTCCTCAAACGTACCAACGCACGAAGCAAAAATCAGCTCTGCTAGAAGAGTGAATTTTTTAGAGCCATGTAGGAAATATTACGACAGATTTAGCTACCAGTAAACGAAAAATTTTAGACCCTATACTTTAAAATGTACTTCTATTGTTTCTCAGACGAACCTGTTCCGCACGCGTTGTTAAAATGCAGGTTCAGTATTGGTGCTCATTAGCTTATTAGAATCAGAAGTTTTTTCTCTGTGCACAATTTTGATGTAACTGGCAAAAACACACAAAACAATTTTATGACTGGCTTTCATTTTTCTGTCAGAAACGTTGAGCAAATTTGCAGTGAAATATGACGATTTTACGAGAAGTCTTAATGAAGACCAAACGTGCGAAATCTATGATTCTTTCTTCAGTTTCCGTCTGGATGTGTTTATGTAATCAGGGCGAAAAACTGATTGTTTTTAATGAAACCACAGTCGAAAGCAAGGTGTTCAGCTTTCTCGTATCGAATGACAAACTAAATTACACTATATTTTTTATACAACCTTTTACTTGAATAAAAAGTTCCACCCATCAGAAGTGTTTTCTAAAGCTTTCGAAAGGGAACAATAGAAGTGTTGTCGCTCATAATGAAAAACACCAATCCGCCCCCTTAAATGAATTCTAAATCTGTCCTACTCGCAGGTGCATATGAAGAATTTAACTGTTGTAACAAACTACTTAGCTCTGTGGCCAATAGTTTTAATTTTTAAAAGACGTTTATTTATCCCTTGCATAATTTCAATTCAAGTTTAAGCATCAAAACACTATAGCTTATCTTTTTCGTAAATATTCTTGAAGTGAGCTTTAATTTTCCTGGTAGTCTATAATAGAGAGGGCTTAAGAAAAAGTTAGATCATGATCGCACGCTCATTTAAAAAACGAAAATAATAATAGCAAAATAGTAAATCAAACATTGCCGGCTTTCTAGATGCAGTGGATCAACTCGCGACACTTTGAGATGGGTGCTGTTTGCAATTCGTGTCTCAAACATCGCCTATAACACCAGGTAACCAGGAAACCGACGGACCAGGAAATATGTTTTTAACTTTCTTGTTTGAAAAGCTGTCAATTCGCGATCTGTCTCTCAGTAACGCCGTGTAATAAATCACTCAACTTGTTTTCGTCGCTAAACTACTATAGCTTTTGATGTAGCAAAGTGAAATGCGAGGCATCTTAGTCGACGCTTCTATCCACGTTGAAGTTAAATTTCGTGCGCAAAAAAACAGCCTAGATGGTAAAAGCTATTCAATACTCATAAAGGAAAAGCTTAATTTTCTATTATTTGGTTTGGGTGCCTGTATCACCTCCCAATTTTCGTTTCGATTACAGATCAGCGCACTCGATATGTTTCGTTGGTTTCCCTAGCGCTTGTCAGTTCCAAAACCGTCTTAGAAACTATCAGCAAAATTCTCACGCCCCAGTGTATATTTTCTAATCATTACCTAAAAAAGTCATTGATGTGCACGATAAAGTTTGCTCAAGGACGCATTTACGTTTAAAGAAATTCCCCTTTATTTGCGTTTTTTCGTTGGACAGTAGCGCATTGAGTCGATTTAAAGAAAGTTTGTTTTTGTTCTCATACCTGTTTCACGTTCAAGAGGATTTTCTTTCATTTTTGTGCGCAATACTTGTTTCGCCTCGGGCTTTTCATTGAACACTAAGTTCGTTTTTGTTTCTTTGAATAAGACATTAAGTCTCAAGCGAATCTGCGGTTCCATTTAAATGTGTAAAAGCTTTAATTATTTAAATCTTCCAACTAAGTATAGTCTCTTCGTTGTGTTTGGCTTTCTGCAATCCTTTTCAAAGGTATTTGTTGCTAGGTCGTTTTGAGGATTTGTAGGGAATTTTTATTATTATGCTACTCAGATGTAGAACACAATGGAGTCATTGAAGATGAAAGAAATCCTCTCTCCTTCGGTAAATTAAGAAGCAATTGTAGCTGAAGGGATCTTGACTTGTTTGGATAGCAAACTATAGCACGTGGAATGAACTTGCTCCCTCCAGTGTAGGTCGCTTACGCATTTTAAAACTTTAAATTTTGGTCATAGGTACAATTCTTCGTAGTTTTTTTTTTGTTTTTTTTTTTTGCGATACTTTTACTGAATCGCAAACCGACCCTAGAGATATTTTTCGGCTGTTTTGAACTCGAAGCAATAGCATTTATTATTTTTCCGTCGGGGATATTTGTATTGTTTTCTTTTAAAAACTTGACGAAATCACAGCTGAACTGGAAAGCGAGTAAACAAAGCTACCGGAAAAAAGAGGCTTTGAAAATAATTAATATTTCAGCTGCAGCACACAATTAAAAGGATGAAGCTGAAAATAGCTGAAATATCGCAGTTTATTGACTACAAATGAAATTTTTACACCATTGCCTTGTTCAAATCCTTTCGGAAATTTGAAGTCCGCCTACCAACTCGTTGATGAGGCTGTGATGGGATCTTTCAATAGGTTCTTTCCGCGCCTTACCTTTGTGATCTGGTTTCACTTGAAGAGAATATTCAATTTATGCTATCCAGGCTTTGCATTATCTCTTTCTTCTAACAATAGACCCGTCGCGTTTCCATAAAAAATATTCTATCCTAAGTATTTACCAGCATTTGTTAGGTCGGAAAGGTTTGTCGATTTGTAAGGTCTTGGGTCTTCAATAATAATCTAAAACGTATGGTTAGTTATGTTCATAGTGTGTTTTGGAAAGAAACTAAATACATATAACTCTTTCATCTTCACAACGTGTTTTAATGAAGTTGTGAAAACTTTAGGTCAGGATTTTTTAGCGGAGAAAACAAAATTTGTTCTACTTTAAGATCACAGTTTAAGGTCGCGTCGCTCAGCGAGTCCAAATCTCTGTTTTCCCTTTTCTTTTTGATTTATTTTGTCGAGATAGTGCACGTGTTTAAACAGTGGGTCGCTCTAAAGAAACCAAGACAAAAGAATCAAAGAACTACAAGTTACCACCCTGTCTCATTGAAATGATGGAGTTTATGTTTATTTACCGATTTTTTTCCAATGTAGATAACAAAAAGAGATTTTCGAACTTCATAATGTAATCGTCGTTTCTGTGATTAAACCGTCAACTCGCTCAAGTAGGTCGGGAAATTGACTGATACTTCTCGAGGATTAGAGGATAAAAATCAACTGACCCAGAAACGGAATAATTTCATTGTACTTCTTCATAACAGTCACGGAGCAATATTAATACTGTCTCGTGTTCGGCTTATCGGTAAAACCATTTTGGTACCCTGTGGCTTAGGTACTAAGCAAGAAATTATACCAGCATAGATGTTGACGCTGAATTTTTTAATGTGATCTGTGGAAATTTCTCTCTTCATAACCTGTCGTTGAGGCTTTTTTGTCAAAATGAAAATTTTCTGTAGCAAAGAAGTTTTCGTGCTCACGTGATACTGATTTTTTACATAGGCAACCGAGATAGTGACTTTTATATGATACAATCAGGAAAAGCCAAGTAAAAATCAGTTTTCCTTCGTAGATTGATACAAAATTCTTAGAGCAGAAGCAGCGTTCAAAGTTGACTTAAACTTGCAAAGCACAAATCGCTTTTTGCAACACGTAAAACTTTTAAAGATAAACATCACTGAAATATTCTCTAACAGATGGTCTGCCGCTTTCCTAGGTTCACCAGTTGATGGTAGCCCCTTGTCAGGTATCCCATCATCCACTGAGGACATAAAACCTGTGATTCAAGTCGACAAGGGTCGTACCTGCTCTAACACCCTGACCCATTCTCCCTCACCGGTACCAAAGGCACTACCTGCGCCGGAGATCCTAACACAAAGTCAACAGTATAGCGACTTTTCCCGACCATCCAGCCTGCACATCTCTGAAGACACCAAACCTGTAATTTTGCCGACAAATTCAAGCGAGAGTGTATCTTGCTCGGCCTCGCCCCATCTAAAAATACAGAGCACGCGCTCGATGCATATGGACATGCGATACAGTCCATACCCCAGACCTCCTTATTCAATGAGTGGAATGCCCTCCAGTTTCCTTTCACAGCACGCACACGGCCATATGTACCCGTCGTATAGTGTGCCACAAGTTGCTACTTACCCATCGTGTCAAGTGGGGCAGTCTTACCCACCCTGCACGGTAAACCAACAAAGTTTCGGCTACCCGGCCTCGGTGTCCTCAAACAACATGCTTGGACTGGGAAGCAGCACCGCAAGTTCGGACCTTACATCGACAATGGACTTACATGGATCAGCGGACAGGACGCCCGTAATGGAACACAGAACGACGTAAACACAGACAAAATTCCTCGCAGAAGATGCTCTATATATGATAAGGTGATCATCGCTACTTAAAAAGATTGCATTAACGCAATAAGAACCTTGTTCTACTTAAGTAATTCAAGAGACGTTTATTTCGAAATATTATTACATGAAGTCCCCTTTTGTTCTTCAAACGAATACCCATCAGACGGACGTTTCAATTCCTAAGTTATTTTTTGTGTACTTGACCATATAAATGTGTAAAATTGACTTGGTAGTACTCCAGGGTCATCCATAATCTCTGAGTTACACAGCACGTATTTCTTGTGCACTGTTTTGATACCATAAAGAAAAGAAATAACTCGTATAACGACGATGGCTCAGGAGAACGTACCACTCACAAAATCGACTCAATATTTCCGGAGAGCGCTATAAAAGGACACCTATATCAGAAGTGTTTGTCGAATTCCTACCACTTGTTCTTCTTATATTTATAACAAAAATTGCAGCCGTTACCGTGGAGACGGCGAGCCTGCTGAACAGCTGAGTTAGGAGTTGCGGAACCTTTTTAGGAGGTTTTCAGCGAAGTGACTAGATTTTTGGGAGAGGGAGGAGGGAGTGGGGCTGCAGAACAGTCTTGCTTAAGCCATGCGCGCGTTAAATGATATAATAACGATATAAAATAACTGCATTTTAATACGTAAGATAAAATTAAAGGCTGTATTAGTAAATTAGCACTTAAATCAAAATTGTTTTATATTGATATCCCTTGTCAATTTATAGGATATGAGTATACAGTGAACTTTAAAACTGTGATTACATCGAAGACACATTCTGTATTAAACGCTATGCACCTATAAAAATCTAATTTGCTCAGGTACACTTAAACATGCCACACCACAATGAAACTCAAGGCGTTCGCAGTCACAAAATAGTATTACATTGTGAAACATTGTGAAAGATTATTCATAAAGATTTAAAGGAAATTGGCCCGGTGAGAGAGAGGATTATCTAATGATATCAACTTTAATGTTATTTCTGAATGATACTCATTTCGATAATCTTGTAAACTGAAAATAGCTGGCCGGTTTTATTTCAGTTCATTAACAGAAAAGCACATATGTGAGAGAGCAAAGTATTTAGAGCAGATTTGCTCTATCTGATAATAATTTGCTATTGCCAGTACTATTTTGCATGCTGATTTGAGTTTTAAAACAGGATAAGGAATATGTAAAGGTAATTTTGTGCGCTAGTATAACTGTAAACGCGATAAAACGTAGCTGTTTTTGAGCAATGACCCAAGCATGCATTTTCACGAGCCTAAGAGTTTATTATAAAGATGTGTAAGGGAGATCCGTCAGCGTATGAACGGATGCGAAAACTTTCAGGCTACTAGTAACCACTACGAGATCTGAAATGTATGCAGTAGTACTCTGAACAATTAACCTTTGGTCTTCGTCATTGACGTGTTAATCTCGGGGCAAACCTGAACCCTTTAAATCCCAAGATCTGATAAGTAACCTTCCCTTCTTGTCTTGATTCAATGTATTGTAATTTCCTTGAGAGACTTTGGCATGACTTCAAGAGAGCAATCACCTATTTGTTTAATCTCATCGTTGTTTTTCTGGATAAGGCACTGAAGTTTAGAGGGGAAATTACTTGCCAATCTCGTCTGGGATTTAAAAGTTTCACAGATGTTACTTAATGTTAGTAGATAGGTACTGAGGTAAATCGTAATTGATAAAAGACAATCTGGGCTCCGTGGAGGGCAATGCAGATTTCAATGGGCGAATTAAGTTAACGTGACGAAGTAGCAGAAATTCATGCTTGTAAAAAAAAGCTGTCGCTGGTCGATTCAAGATTTTATTCAGTTTATTTCGTATATTTATTTATAGAGTTTTTGCCAAACTTCTGTTTCAAAGTACGCCCTGACCAAAGGCATTCAGTGTCCGCATTGTGTTGTAGGCAAGGTTATGTTTGTGGAAAAGACTGCAAAGAGAGGGAAACGACGACACAAGCATTTGACCTAGTGTGTTATTCGAGTTGTTGGAGTAATTATTTACATGGCCTAAAATGTATATAGCGTAAAATATTATCTATCAATAAAAGAAACTATTCTGCTCATCTAGTTGTATCTTTTTGCGCGAGAAATCTGGGGGACCTCGAGTATAACTTGAAGCAAATAGATTAGTAAGCTTGCAAACATGTAGTGAATAAGTTTCTAGAAAAACTGTGGTGCTGCGTCGTTGGGAGAGTATAACAGGGTAATTTGGTATTATCAACTGAGTTGATAACGTAAATTAGCCACCGTAAAGAGCAGAAAAAAAAATTTTTTTAAGGGTTTTAATTATTTACGGTGGCCAATTTACGTTATCAACTCAGTTGATAATACTAAATTACCATATGGTTAATCCTTGAGCTCTTGCGTGGAATTTGTAGCCTTGTACGCCTGCCTGGAACTCTGTTTGGAATTTGTGAGAATTTGTATGCAGCGATATTTTGTCAAGATGACCCTCTATCACTTAAACCCTCTACACCCCTTCATCAGTATGCATATTCTCCATACTGTTCTCTATACATTCCCTAAGGTGCTGACAAGGAGAATTTGTGTAACAATCAAAGAGTTTCTTTAGTTGGTGATCATTTTCTTTTTTCTCGTCACCTTCATATTTGTTTCACGGGTGATATTATAAGAAAAAATTAGATGCTAGTCCCTCGAAGCGGCCCCAAAGAATTGATTTGTCGAGTCTTATCACCTGTTTGCCAAATATTGTATCGTTCGAGTGAATATTCGTAACGTGTCGTATTCGTTCGAGTGAATTTCGTAACGTGTCGTATTCGCTCAAGTGAATTTCGTAACGTGTCGTATACCGAAACTAACCTTAAGGAATTCGCCATTAAAAACAAAACAACTCAAAGTAAAAAAAAAAATATATTGCCCAAAGCACGGAAAATGCTAGTGACCGATCTGCAATTAGTTTTTTAAATAGAATTTTATTGCTATGGAAGTTAGCCAAAGTTTTCTGAACAAATCACAAAGCGAAGTAAAGTAAACCGAAGCAATCTAGGATTAATGGTGATACTCAGGTGAAAATTATGTCATTCTATGGTGTTAGGAGCTTATTACATTCAGGAGTTAAATGTTAAAATGACGAACATAGCACAGGGTACATACACTAGCACTGGAAACCTGTTGTAATGAACCCATTTAATTCAGAACGAATATCTCTGTTAGAATGTCCACTGGTCATTCCTATAATAATCAGATTTGAGAAAAAGTATGTGACTTACAACAATAGGCACATTTTTCTGTCCCCGGACAAGTCGTTATGTCACTGAGGAAATGGTGACAATGAGATCAAAGATGGAACACATTCTCACCAAGTTGGTGGACCTGGTTACAACAGGAATGACTAAAAGAATCAACGCTGTACGATAAACGTGGCCAACTCCTAGCTTGTGTTCCTACAGGTACTGCAAGATCTCTTCGGTTTTTAAAGCATAGCAATCAAGACTAAAGCGCCAATCATTTACATGACCTTGTAGAGGCTATGGGCTATCTTAATTTGAAGCCTTCATCTATTTTATCCCGCTAATCCCCCACCTCTTTATCGCCTCTTTATCGCCAAGACTTTGCTTGTTCTTCTATGATACCATGCGGGGAAGGGGAACTTCGAGAGACGAATTTGGTTCATCACTTATCAGCTCTCGCTCCAAACTGAAAGTCTTCACATTCTGCATTTCTTGTTGAACAGTGAACCCCGTTTAGTGAAAGAGTTGTCGGGAAAAAAGAAAGTAGCTACCTTGGAAAACCAAGGGAATTTTTATAAGTAAACGGTTGAAGTAACGGCAAACGCCGAGTGGTGAAAGCTGGATGATTCTGAAGTTTCAAATGCGACAGCAGACCGAACTTCCACTTGCGGTTAACAACGTAGGAATATAAAAGAACAGGCAAGAATCCCTAAAAAGCAATAAAGATGTTGAGGAACCTTCGGAAAACTTTGACCGCTATCAGCAACGATAAAGTGTGCCAATCATATGACTGAAGATGCCTTTATCATGAAGATGTACTTGTAATGGGGTACGACGTACTCGTCGCACTCCTCTTAGCGTCTTTCCAACAAGGTATGCGGAAATTGAAAATGAAATGGAAGAGGGAGAGCCAAGAAACGCACGGTTCCGGGATGATTGGAGCTGACCCGAAGAAAACTAGAGTGAAGAACCAAGGACGGAGACGCCCAGGGCCGGGAGGGGGAGCGGGAGGGGGGAGGGCGTCGCGTATAAGAGGCTGCTACTACCAGACGAACACGGTGACCCCTATTCTATTTCTTTGAAATTCATGCAGGATTTTCAAAGCTTATTTTCAAAGCATTTGGACAGTAAGATATATCTATATAAACGGGGTTAAAAATATTTGTTTGTTAAAATTGAGTAGGCGACTTTTAGGTGCCACAGATAATATTTTTAAGATCTTAAAAAGAAAAGAAGTTTTCTTTCCTGATTTGCAAAGGTGCCCCACATATCCAATTTCTATCAAGGAGGCAAACTAGGAGGATGAGGAAATACCGGCAAGGGCGTAGCTAAGGGGAGGGAGGGAAATTGGGGTACCCCTCTCCCCCCTTACTGCTTGTAAGATTTTTTTTGTCATATTAAATTCAACACGTCGTGGAGATCGACAAGACAATCTGATTAGTACCCTCTATTTGACACAGTGTGACTCCCCTTGGACGCCCCTGCGCACAAACTAAATTCGAGTGTCATTTTTTAAAACCCACGGGCTGTGAGATGAGACCCACTTCTTTTGCCCAATCTGTTAGTGACAGCTGAACAATTTCTTCTAACTTTAATCCAAACTTTGAGTTTTTGTAAACAGTGATAAGGGAGCTTATAGCTAACTCTTGAAAATCCTTTATCTATTACGAAAGACCCACTTTTTCAGAAATCTTGAGGTAAATAATAGAAAGTAGATATAGTCTAAGTAACCAGCCCTTCTCAGTCGTCAACATTGCAAAAATAAGCGATCCGCATGGG